AATTGCGTGTGCGAGGTTGCCAGTTTAAATCCTTTCCGCCACAACAATTGTCAGTTCGAAATATGCCGCGTATGGCTTTTTCCTGCCATTACACTTCGACTTGCTAGGCATGAGAGGTGTCTTACTCTTGATCTACTGCAGATTCTTAATTCTAGCAGTCTCTTCAAAAGTACTTCTTCAGTCAATGCTAATGTTTATAGTACATGTTAGGTACACATTTTCAAAACGCCTATTGGTTTCAGCGATAATGTAAATAAGTATATTATGGATCATTTTTACTACCTTCATTTATACTTAACAGTGATTTCTTTGTAAAAAAAATTTTCAGTTCTTTAAAATTGTTTAATAAATAGCATCTTGACGAACAGCATTAATACTCACTCACTTTGGATGAAAAATTCTAAGTTAATTAATAATTATTAAATACAGATAATACTAACAAACATTAATTAAACTCGAAGCAAAATTTTCCATCACAAAAAAAATCTATTATAACATAATCCCACCGAAGCCGAAACACGGACAAACTATCGAAAGGCATTGAAATACGGAGACGGTAAAAATTCTGGCAATTTCCAACAACGAAAGGGGGAAAACCGAGTAATATTCGGAAAGTAAATTCAACGCGGTCGACAAAAGAAAAAAAAAGCTAAGTCGATTTGAACGGCGAAAATTCAGTGTGCGAGTCGGCTGCCGATCGGCGCAATAAGATTTGAGATCAACGTGGTTTGTATTCAGACGGCTCGCTAGACCTCGACGTCACACGGACTCGGAACTACTGGAAGAACTGAGGAAAATTTTTCTTGTGGATTTATTGACTTGTGCTTGATCGAATTTAAGTTGAGCATCGAAATAGCCGTGGACGGATAGTCGTATCTTATTTAGATATAATCTATAGGTTTTTCTAACTCTTGCTTATTCAATGAACACTTTGCAGACATAGGATATATCTCTCTAATATCATCCCAAATGAAATACCTTATAAAAGCACGTCACTAGTGGTAGTCCTTCATCTCCACAGTTCTTTCCGACCCTCATCTGGCAAAACTGAAATTATTATTGGGATAACGCTGAATAGACTTTATTCGTTTTAGCACGCAATTATGAATCATAGACCGGTATGTTTGTTATTATTTTCCTTTGAAAACATCACCCTAATTTATAACGACAGTATCTTGTGTTATGTAGACGTATGTACACAAATTTCTTAAAGACTCGTGTGGCCGTTGCGATACATTGCAGTATTTTTCTTGAAGAAAGAAGCGAGTTACGGTAGAGTTCAGAAGCTTCTGGTAGAGTAGAGCTGAGAAATGTCACGGCCTCACAGAGAAACTACATGCAGTTCCGGCCCTTTATGTTTGGTCTAGTGAGAGAGCTCCTTTGGTAAAATAAGAACAACCCTACTACTGATGTGGAACTCTATGCAAGTAAGAACTTACCATAAAGTGAACAGTGGTCTGCCACCATACTCTCTTAAAGAAAACACAGATGAGTTGCCATCTATCGAAGCTTAATCCGTGTTCCCAACAAAAGAATGGAGCACGTGCTGTTGTCACGCGGATTTGCTCACGTTTCGAGCCTTCAACGGGTCCAATGCTACGTACACCACGGGGAAATATGACATCCACTGCCTATTGTGAGCGCACAATGGCGGGGGATTATTTTTTATTAAAGATCAAATCATATCCTTTCCCATTTATATAAGCCCTTATATTCGACGGAGGTCGACATTGACATAGAACCGCTCCGGTTTCTCTTCAAATTTTCTATTTGAGATTAACAACGACAGTATTGTCAAGAAATTACATTCATCGATTCATCGTAAATGTACGTAACAATTCTTTTATAATCATTTGTACCTTTCTCTACAAATTACTAAACCAAATAATTATTGCTCAAATGGTATTGTTAACTTTAAATTTATGTTATACTACCTCAAACTTAAGTGTAAATTGTGTAAACTTAAGTGTTTTCTACCTTTTTAAAAAGATAACGCGTGGTATGGGTCAGTCAGGACTAAAATCAGTTCCATTTTCTACGAAATTTACAGCATATATTAATCAATCTCTCTATCAAGTTGCTAAGAACATATAACATGTAGTTCAATAATTTAGATCCATATTGACAGAAAACCTAGAAAGAAATTAAGCCTTTCTCTTATGTTTGTTTTCTATATTACTTGTGCGTAGTAAAATCATCATTTACTCGTATAGTGAATAAAAAGTATTATTTGAACTCTACATTCCTCGAAATGAAAACTGTACACGTCTCGTAACCACGTACCTTACACATTAATATCATGTACTCCACGTAAGTAATACAATTTCCAAGGTATAAAGTCAAAGAGCTTCCTGCACCCCCCCCCCCCCCACTCCCCTTTCCCGCGTCGGTGTCGCAATAAACTTAATTACACTAATACCGACCTCAATACGTGACACTCATGGAGTAGGATGTCATAACTTCGCCCAAATGTGGGAATCGGAACTCTGATTTAATATTATTATTACTTGTTTCATTAAGAAACTTGAAAGGGTACAAAGAGAAAGTGATTTGATTTAATTTAAATGTGAGATAGCTTCAAACAACGTAGTAAAAAATGGGAAAATTAACATTCCGAACTAGTCTATTTTAATTAAAATGTGTGGAAAAAATTGACGAAACGGTCTTCGTCGGTGCGAGAATTGAATGTTCCGGAATCGCGCCCAAAGAAATGGGTTCGATTCTCGCAACGGCGTTAACCATTTCGTCAACTTTTTCTACAAATTTTGTTGTTTCATGTAAAGTAAAGACTATTCGAAGTTTTGATTGTTGCATTTCATCATTCTTCAAATTAATTTTATTCGATTTGTGTTACATTCCTCTGATGGTTATTGTGAAGCAGTAATTTGTGGTATTATTATTCTTTTACATTAACTATTACTCTACCCCTTTTTAGAGTTCCCTACCCAAAGGGTCAAACAGTTGTTTTCAGTTTTTATTACTATAGAAAAATTTATATACTAATTTCATTTTTCAAGTCGACCAAAAAGCATTTGATTGTCACATTGAAAATCATTATGAAGCAACGTAATTAATTAAATTCACGGATCCAATTAATTTTCCCAGTACATAATACGTAATGATACGAGCTTCTTTTTGCGATACTAACTTCTTACAAACACGCGAGATATTTTGTAGGTAGGTAAAACAATTTGACGAATTACACGATACAAATAGAACTTAACGTCTCACCAGATCCGCGTAGTCTCTATGCTTCGTCAATTTCGTCAAACAATTGAGGATACTTAGCGTTTAGCGTCTAAGATTTCGAATATGTTTCACTGTGTCCCCAAATGGGCAGGTCCGTCCGGGGAAGTACCAAGACCTCACAGAGGACCGGTGTGAAGTGTTATACTTCTGCGTTTCGTCTGTTGAGTGTGGTAAGCGGAGCCCACTTTATTAAAGGCAACACATCTGCAACACATCAGTTGTTGTAGATGTCCATAGTTGGCGGTTATCACTTAACATCAGGTGAACCGCCAGCTCGCTTGCCACCTTCTCACATAAAAAAACACAAAAAGGCGAACTGTAAAGGCATGCTCACACCACGGCGCATGTAATTACGTGCTAATTACGCACTCTAGACGAGCGGAACTAATTGGCACCCCGTCGCAACCCCCGTCACCGCTGCACTAAGCAGGTATTTATTAGGGTACTAACATTAATCTTATTTTCGTCAGTATATCAGTGAAGGAAATAATATCAAATATGGTATGTTTCAGACGGCAATACTATAAATTTGAAACTATTACCGTGATCCTATGTTAGATGCTTTGAAGTATTCGAAACGTCGGCAAAGGGTACAAAAAAACCTTAACATTTAGTTGTTACTAGCTGACTCGGCAAACGTTGTTTTGCCATGACTCGGAACGCAAGCATAAAGTGTTTGACAGGTTACACATACATAGTTTACAGGTTGACAGGTACAGTTTGTATGGGAAAATAAAATTGTTGCCATTTCGATTTTCCATGAAATTTTTCCATAATTTCTCATCGTTTAACAAAGGTTTCCCTGGACTGCCATAAATATTTCAAAACCAAAATAAGCCAAATCGGTCCAGCCGTTCTCGAGTTTTAGCGAGACTAACGAACAGCAATCCATTTTTATATATAAGATTAAACTAATCTCGTAGATTGTTACATCCCTAGAATATGATGGAATTGCTAAATAGAAATTTAGTGTAACATTTCCTCTGTTACTCATTTTATCAAATAACATCAACTTTAATTCAGCATTAACGTCATTGGGGAACGTATAATGTTGTATCTATATATATCGGTGTTTCATTAATCTATTTTCAGTATTCAAATTGACCAGACTTACTTTGACTGTAAATAATAATCAGTTGTAATTTGAATACATGTCCTAATTTAAGTATTTTAAATACAATTGGTTTTTCCCGTACCGATTGTTTAGTGTTTCCTAGGTCATGGGCCAGAACCAACTCGTGGAGCCTAAACGAATGACGATGTAACTGCTTCGATATCCTAGCGACTGCACCCATTACAGAAGCCACAACCGATGGTTTTAAAAAACCAAGGAAGGTTGCAGTCAAGCTGGCGGCTAGTAATAATAAACCTAAACTATAACATTAACAACATGATTAAAATATTATGCCGACCCTACCTAAGTAGGATAAGGGAGGGAGAAAGAAGGGTATTTAAATTTGCTAGTGGAATCAATTAGTACAAATATTTTTGCTGACCACGGGAGATTCGTGAAGTAAGAGTTCTAATACTTTTTCACATCGTATGATGAGTGAGTTCCAGGCTTTTATTAGTAAACATCATCAACATCTCTGGTCAGGCGAAACGGTTGCTCAGTTCCCACGAAAGAAAACTACTTCCTGCATTCCTTTGTGCTTCGTGTTGCGAGTTCCACTCAGGTTTACAATATCTGTGGTTCTGTGTATTCGAGAGGGATCAGTCATTTTCTATCAGGCGAACCGTTTGAAGTTCCCATGAAGAAAACTAAGGAAGCGGTTAGTTCCCTTCATGGTAACTAAGGAACAAAACGTTTCTTTCCATTACTAACATATAAAGACGTTTTTATTATATACAGCCGCTGCGGCGAAAGAAAGAAAGCCAACCGATCGGAACTGCAGCGCGATCGGCACCTACTGCACTCACCCTTAACTGCGCCGCTTCCCCGTGCAATTACCGAGGTCGTTCGATTGCCAGCGATTGGCGATATCACGTGTCGCTGGCCGCGATCCGCCGCCTGATGAGAAATTCGCCGCGCGCCCATCCGGAAGTATTGCCGCGCCTTCGGGAAATTAGTTTCGACGCGACACTGCAGATGCCTTGAATATTCATCGTGATCGCTGTCCCCGCGAATAGCCGAAAGGCTCGTACGGTCTCCTATGTCATGCGCCATGATTGTTTTAGGCATGGGAAGGTCAAAGAGAGTGTTTGGACATCAAAAGAAAGAAAGAAAGAAAGAAAGAAAGAAAGAAAACATTTATTGCTCAAATACGCCACATGTACATTTAAACCATAAACAAAAAATACATACTAAAAAGAAAAAAAAGAAGAATAAAAAAATATTAAATACATTACACATTTTACGCACACAATTGTGTGTGGCGTATACGGCAAACAGACCACACTCAGCTTAATGCTGCAGTCAATACGAGACTACAGCGCTGGTTTTCAGTGGGCCTGTGAATTAAGTGACGTACGGACGTTCACACCGTCATTCAAACACTAATAATAATTAACATAAATTACATGAATGAACTAACTGGATCTAATGAAAAAAAGAAAGGAAAAGAATGTCCGAAACATTTTAAAAAGTGTTGTTATCACCATAAGAGTCATGTATATTATGAGGAGTTGGAGTTGGAAATAATATAAAAGATATGCTAAATGATGGTACCCCTACAAAAATATTTTCTCACAGGTATGTAATCATAATCATAATCTTAAGCAACAATTTTATCATTGGAAACAATATTTTAATAAAGTCAATAATTAATAGCATGAAAAAAAAATTTTTTTTTCAGCATTTACGTATGAAAAAAAAAAAATAGTTCTATGCACTCTCATGTGCTTTTCGTATGAACCCACCGGACAGCGCTAAGGTCTGTAATTATTTAGGTACGTAAATATCACGCCATAGCTTTTTGAACATTAATTAGGTGAGCTTTATATTTTATTTTAAATGTATTTAATGTTTTCAGACTACGAAGCGGTGGCGGCAGGTTATTCCAGCATTTAGAGGCAGAATATTTGAAACTTCCACGAAAGCCGATGGTACGATGGTAGGGAACAACCAAAGAGTAACATGACGAGCGAGTGATCTTTGATTGTACGTCGCGAGACCACACTAATTTGTGATATAGACGGTGCGCGTCTGACGTCTTGATTTAAACCTGTAAGATAATTGAAGATCTAATTCTAGCACCACATGCGTACAAAACTAAATATTATAAGAACTCCTTTACAGTTAAGGCCATCTGCTTGTGGAATGAACTTCCTCAGTAAATTAGTCGTTCGAAGACGCTAGACAAGTTTAAAATTGACGTAAAACAACATTATCTATCGCTTTGTTTTCCATAGTTTTTAATGGAAATATTCAGATTTAATTCTTCTCTCGTGTATTTATCTATATATATTATATATTTATTTATGTTTATTATAATTTTGTTTTTTTTATTATATTTAAGTCTATTTTGGTATTAAGTAAGTTTATTGAGCACACCACCTCCCACTATTCATTAGTTTATTTTTCCTCGTCCTAAGGTTGTCTGGAAGAGATCGCTTTTTAGCGATAAGACCGCCTTATTGTACCTAGCTTTTAAGACTTATTTCATACTAATTGTATCAAATTCTTTGTGGTGTACAATAAAGTATATAATACTAATAATTAAAGTCTATAGATTTTGTGTTGTGTTAAGTGGTTTTAGCACGACTGTGCTACTGTGCTCTTTGATGATGGATGTTGCAGTTGATGGTAAACACACTAGCTCTGTAAAAGAGCCTATTCATTGTTACCTTAGAGACACCTATCGTCATTTTACTTAAACATGGACACCGGCACACTGTTCCACTCCTTCAGTTATATAATTATATATAATTGCACTAATTGATGTTACACGTTTCAATTTTCACGATTACCGCGTCGTTTCATTAAGAGCCCTTAGTTATTAACTTGATTTAATCTTTTTTGTAGACGGATAATTTTTTTTTATTAGATTCCTCATCATCATTTAAGCCACTCCTAAACAAAGCGTCCCCAACTCTGCCACGAAGCACGATCTTGAGCCACTTGTGTAATTGGCACAGGTTTTCTCAGGTATCGTTTATTATGTTATTATTGGTTTATTATGTTATTATTGCTCAGTGGCTACATCGTCAGACCGCGAATGCCGAAGACGTGGGTTCGATTCCCACAGCGGCGACAATCTTTTCGCACTTTTTCTACATATTTTAATTTTCTATATATTTTAATATGTTATTATTACTTAAATATACACGGGGTGGCGTAAATAGCCACCCCGTGTCCATGAATGCTGTAAAGTATCAAAACGCCAGTGATTTATGTTTGAATTGATATCGCATCGCAATTTCAGAATTAAAGGGACCTCTGGTTGAGAAAACCATGATTTTCAATTTAGTTCAGAAAACTACCGAAACCGACTACATTTTTTGACTCTTATAACAAGCGCTGATTTTACAAAGCTATATAATATATACTTCGGTCTCTTTCACTCCACTCCAATCACCAAATCTGTTCATAAATGCACAAATCTTTATTTTACGTTTCCGTAAAAATTTATATTTTTTGGTTGCTATAATTCTAAAGGTGCGTTATGTTATCCATTTAAATTATTTCAGGGAATAATTTGTTAGTATATGCTTACGGTGGTAGGGCCAAGTAGCTGCCTCGGCTGTTGCACGAATGGGCAACCTCGTCCGGGTAAGTAGCACGATCTCACAGAAGACCGGCGTAAAGTGGAAGTATAATACGTTCGCGTTTCGTCTGGTGAGTGAGGTAGCCGGAGCCCAATTTCCAAAAAGGTTGTCAACGCATCTGCAAACCCTCAGGTGTAGCAGATGTATATGGGCGGCGGTATTCACTTAACATCAGGTGAACTGTTCACTGGCAACTTTTTACATAAAAAAGCAAGTTATTGTTGCTCGCATAAAATTGTTGGTCTATTTACATATAAACTAAAGTTAGGACGCAGTTATTATTCATTTATTTTTTTTATTTTTTTTTTATGCGAAAAGTTGTCAAACGAGCAGACGGTTCACCTGCTTCGTAACCAAAGATTCAGTTCCTCCGAACATCACGTGTTATAAGATTGACACGTGCTTTAATGAGACCTATTGAAAATACATGAGCCCACTCACTTTGTAAAGATGAAACTTAAACATGTGTAGTAATAAATAATCGGCGGCACTTGCAACGAGTGGATCGTCCCGTTGCGAACACGATGTCACAATTCAATCTCCATTACACTCCACTTGATGTAACGAGTGACAAGCGGCGAACACTCGTCACTCGGTGTGCGAGGGCAAATCGCTTTGTCTACTTTAATCGGATCCCTACACGAAACGATATCGAAATTAAGCCTGGCTTCGTAGAAGGCTTCGTTTGCATTATTGTTTATTTATTAAACACCTTACATCTAGCATTACAGGAAAAAATTGTCCTAATTCGCAGTTTAGTTCAGCTCACCTAAATCTAATAAATAAAGGTATATTTCCTTTTAAACTACATACACCTAATATCGTACCAGATAGTTATGTTTTCATATCGATGATCTGATGTTACGATTAAGAGTTTTTATGCTGTGTGTTATCTAACACGATTTTCTATTCGCAAACCTCACTAGTGAACCTTGTCACCATATGCAGGCTGAATTGATATCTCATCAGTTCTCAAAATATCACACGTAAGTCATCTGCTGAAATTGCTGACAGACTGCACTTACCGCAAATATTTAAGCCGATCAGTAATGATTTTTTTGTAACGAAAAACTATGGAAAATATATAGATAATCCGTTTCAAGCAGTTGGGTATTAAGTATCGCGTTTTTAAGTTACGTGCCATTAGTATAACTAGAATATAATATTCCACTCAAAGATACTATAACAATGGGTGCCTGATAGACAAAATAGCTGAGTCTGTGCTACAGTAAATTTTTTACAAAACTGTTATGTAACTCAGCTGATCAGAAAGAGTGGATTTTGAAAAGTTCACCATCCCAGGAGGTTGAATGGGGTTTGAAAACCTTTTTATCCCGACTCTTCGTTTGTGCACTGTGATAAAAATACAAGATTAAGCAAATTTCTGTCGAGCTAATCCGTTCGTACAGCGTCCCGCTAGCGATAAAGCACAATGCGGTGTAATTTGTCTAGAATGTAAAAATCGGGCTTCGAACGGGGATAATCGCGGCTCTATACTTCACGTCTAATCGACCATACAGGAGCGAGATTAACAAATGACGCTTAAATTTAACCTTTTTTTCGGCAGCGCTAATGATGCGGTAGTAATCACCAGCCGTACTTTTAATCGAGCACAGGGCGATTTATAAGGCGAAGTCACTCGCCCCTAAATTATCGCGTCTTACGTGTAAATTGTGTGTAGCGAAATTTACATATGGGAATTTACAGTCTGCCTCTCATCCTTATGTTTATAGCGTCTCTATTTTTCCTGTACCATACACTTCCATACCATTTTTCTCTTCAGTTACATTTTGAAGTAAGTCCGATTTATATGGATATTTGTTTGTATCGTATGGACTGTTAAAGGACATCGGGGATTAAGCCTTGAGAAAAACCTGTCGGGAAAGATTTTTCATTTAAAGTAGCTACATTTATTTGGAAGATACTTTTATTGGTGTGGTGAAATTGTAAGCACCCATCAGATCATAAAGACGTTTAAAGGTAGTACGGCAGTTATATTAAGTTATATTTATTTTCATATTTGTCATGAACACTGGTAAAATTGAACACTGAGAAAATTATTGGCAACCCATAAAAAGTAACGGAACCCAGTGAAAAGAAGGTGATAAAACTGACACTCGAGTACTTTGGTGTTTTACAATGTATACGTTTAATTATATGTTTATATAGGACAGGGTGATTTTATAGACGACGGACATATTAACAGAGCATATGCTGACTTTGATTCTAAATCTGAATCTGGTACGTACTTCACACTCATTTTCTTTCCAAAGTTTATTTTTAATTTTTTCAAATATTAATGGACACCTTAAAAAATTCCTGCCTTACCGTCTCAATACAATAACCCATTTACGAGCACTTAAACTTTTCGCTGAACACATAATTACTAAACCGCTTATCAATAGGGTGTCTACTCTTAACAGGATAAACAAACAATGTTTGAATTGATATTTTTCTGGTTATTTCTTGTCAAAATAAAATATAAATATTTTTTTTTAATTATAGAATGTTCAATTTATATTATGTCAAACTATGAACTTCGTCTAAAAATCACCCTGTATAGGTATAAATGTCTATGTGTGAAGTGCTGATGATATTTTCATTGTGGTAGTTCCACGCTATCCCATCGTTGTTCGAAGGGACGGTTACGTCCAGAGTATCAGCCTCTCAGTCAGCATGACGTAGAAGTAATATATTTTGCGTTTCGCGGGCCTGGGTGGTTGGTCCTGTTGTTTCATTTCATTGTTCCACTGGCAATGCATCTGTAACGTCTATGATGTTTAGACTTCCATTGGCGCGATAATCACTTAACATCAGGTGAAAAGTGCCCAGTAGTGTAGTAAAAGCCTGTGTGGAACTCATTCACAATACGATTCGCAAAAGTATTAAAACTCTTATGTCACGAATCTCGCTTTGTAGTAAGTGTAGTCAGCAAAAATAGTTGTAATAAAAATTAATTGTGGTAGGGCCACGCAACAGTCTTCCCTGTTGCACGAATGAGCAGGCCCGTCCGGGTTAGCACCACGACCTCACAGAAGACCCGTTAAGTGGAACTGTTATACTGTGAAAGGTTGCCAAACGAGCAGATGGTTCACCTGATGGTGAGTGAATGCCGCCGCCCATGGACATCTGCTACACCCGAGGGATACAGATGCGTTGACAACCTTTTGAAAATTGAGCGTTTCGTCTAGTGAGTGAGGTAGCCGGGGCCTACTTTAAAAGGTGGCAACGCATCTGCAACCCTACAGGAGTTGCAAATGTTAAAGGGCAGCGGTTATCACTTAACATCAGGTGAACCGCCAGATCGGTTGCCACCTTCTCATATAAAAAAAGTCTTGTTGGTTGGTGCATCGATACTTTCTTCGATAATGAATTCTATTTGAGGATTAGTAAGGATAGTTTTAAATGTCGAATGGGAAATTTAACGCTTAATTTGATTGAGAAAAACTAAAAGAAACGTTGCATTCAGGTGATTTATTAATTTTTTTTTGCGGAGCATATTGAAACCAAAGCCCAATTTGTATCCAACGAAATAAAACCCATTAGTCTGATCAAATCTTTCAATTTCTTGTTCTTAGATATAATTATCCACATAAATAATCGCAGCTGTGGACTGATAGTTTAGCAGAAACTAGCCATTATATATAAGAACACAATGCTACCAACCAATAGATGTCGCTGTTTTCAAACAGTGGTTTCTACTGTTACGTCAAACAAAAATGGACTTATTTTTTAGTTCAACTAAGTCCACATCCCCAAAACAGCCCCGCGGTACTGTTTATAAGAACCGCACCGTCACGGTATAGTTTTTCATTGTGTCATTTTGGAGCGACAATGTTTCCATTTTTATATGCGCTCACTGTGTTGCTTAATCGAGTTTGCTCGTGCGAAAATATTTTTTACTTTTGCGTTTCCTCTGTTGAAGCCGATTGAGTTAACGTTTCTGGGATATGAAGTTTTTTTGACAGCCATTGGCCTCAGTAATCACTTAACATCTCTTGAACCGAGATGCTCATAAATATAGTTCTTAAATAATATTTTCAAGACAACTATGTAAATAAGACATGATATGATAATTCCACATTTTATTTAATCTTGAAGACAATATAATAGATATTTACAATAGGCAATACAATATAATTATTATAGAAAAAAAAGTGCCCAACTCATATATATATTTATTTAGACAAAACAACATGTTATATCAAGCTGGTGATTAATTAAAATAATACGTTTCGGCCTGTTTATACACGAAATAAGATGTAGAAAACGAGTCGATACATAAATATATAGAATAATATACAATATCGTCTACATACATTTAATTTTCGTTAAAACGGCAGTGAATATATCTAATAGTTATCTTCAATAATACGGAATAAATTTTGCTACGTATAAGTCACACAATACAACATTATAGTTTCTTAATTATGAATACATTTATATTTTATCTATATTATATATCCTAAACTTTCTTTGGTATACAACGGGATCTTTTTCGTGAAATATCGGTTATAAAAGTTACCACTTAAATTATATTTGTAACTGAGCTGTATGGTATAAGTAAGTAACATAGTTATAACATTCCTTTCGTTATATATTTGTATATAAAATATAAAGCGTTGTACACGGGTGATGAACACAAACGAATTCTATTTAAACTTCGTAATAATATATATGTCGTTCTTGAACGATATTTTTTTTTATTTTAATGCGAGTAAATGAGTCTAGGGTACGTTTAAAAGTCAAAAGAAAACTGAATCTGACTAAATATGCCAACCGGTTGGCAACAAATAGGTAGATATTTAAGAGAGGACGGTAACGTAACATTTTACAAAAGATACGTTAAATTTTAAATAAAATTGCGATGAGCAGCATTGCATTGAACAATATTGAGTTATATTTGAGTCTTTGTATTGGCGTTTATTACCTGTATTGTTGAAATTTGGCACGCTTTAATTATCATTATGTATTTATTACAATATAAATATTACCAATACTCTATTTTTTTAACTTCAACATCAATAGATACGCTTTATAAATTTAATATGGTGACATTTAAACTTTATTCAACATTACACATTACATATAAAAAGCTGCATTACATATACTAAAACTATATTAATTTACATATATAAAAAGCGTAAAGGTAAAATGTAATATTAATTGAAAGAAAAAGAACGGAAATTGTTAAATCATTTTTACTATTCAAAAATCGTATTCGTATCACATAGATTACAAAAATCTCAAAAACATAATCAGACTTTACCATTTTTACAGATTAAAAATAAGGCCATGCACAGATTAAACATTTAACAGCCCAATCGAGGATCGTGTAATACATTAACGACAACATTAGCTTTTGAGCAAAAATTTTGCAATAATTGAAACTTGAAAAATCTATATATTTTTTTGTCATTTTGAGACATATTTATTGTACGCGTACGACTCTCACTATTAATCTATTAGCAAATCAAATCGGAAACTCAGTTGGAACACAATTGATAACGACGATAAAGAAACTCCCTTTGGTTGAGGAACACGGAAAATTCTGCATTATTTTATTAGGTACCAGAGAGCTCCATTGAAAGTGGTTATTCAATTGTGTCCGCTGAGTTCATCAACAACATTCCATTGATATGTTTAATGTACTATAGTTAAATGAGCTCCTATGTGGTCATAAGGTGTGTTTTTATCAACAACCGACTGTAAAATCTACGCAATCACTTACAATCCGACTATATACAACATTAATATATACGACACTGGAAACTGGTAACGCAATATCAACTATAATATCTAAGATCGAGATTATGTTAGGCCTACTATATCAATACAGGATGAAAAAATCCGATTCAAATAAAAAAATCAAAATCAACATTCGACATCGGTCGACATTATCGTGCCGTGGTCACATACATACAAATAAACAAGAAATGTACAATCGTTAAAAACTACTATCAACATAACAACCTCAGAATTTTACTATTCAATAGTAAAACCTATTTTTCTAACATAAATACAAAAAAAATATAAATAAGGTCGCGGTTCGTAGAAAGCGGTGTCACAACTTAAACACAATAATACAATTAACACAGTAAAATTTTGTATTTTTTTTTTTTCATCAATTACTTTAAGATTCGAGAAATAACCTTAAATTAGCATAGGATCGATTTCATTAAAATATCGATGTAATACGCTATTTTTAATTTCCTATATCAAATTACCTAGTGTAATGTATTGTTATATCTTAAGACAATTACAAAACAATGATTCAGTATTCATAGCCAATATGTTATTCGGAAGACAATTAAGTTGATCCGAATCCGTAAGCCGAATTTAGGCCTCGTCACAATTTTCCTAATTATCCTTAAAATAATTCAAATGAGAAGAGAAAAACTTACAGTCAAATAAAAGTTAAACTTAAAAAATCAGGTGCAGTGACGAACTAGTTCTAAAAACCAATTTACTAACAACAATAAATAAAGGCATCAGTTACGATTATCGAACAATTAATCGAATGCAATATGCTATACAAAAATGTTACCCATTAAGAAAGTATCAAATCCATCATTCGTCAATATCCGACTGAAGCTCCAATATTCGTCTGTCGTTTGATGAAAAACAAATCACAAAATGGATCTAAAAACAACGTACAAAACCACCTATGGAAATTTTATTTCGTATCTGTATAATAAATTACCTTTCATCTCACAATTCTTCCGCGGAGGCGATTGGCGCCTTCAGTAGCGGAGTTCTGGGGCTTCTGGAGCCTTCTGTGTTTTTGGAAGACGACTGGAAGTCCTCGTTGGACAGCGAGGCGGGAATCGGGGCGATCTTTAGCTGGTGGCCGTTCAGCTTGATCTCCGTTATGGAATGCGACCTGCCGTGGTTCCTATTCGGCTTCTCTTTGCCGCTGACGGATAGCGGCTCGTGGGTCGGGGTTTTGGCAAGCGATTGCGTGACCTTAGCGCGGTTCGACTGCTCCCTCAGGGCCATTTGGTATGCCACCTCGAACGCCTCGCCCAGCGTTAGTATCACTTCGGTGGCTTGATCCTGGAATACGTTGACGTGTTGCTTTAAACACTTTTCAATCTACGCCACAGTCGTCTTTTCTATTTTGTCACTTAAAATGATATAGGTAGGAAGTTCTTTTTAAATAAAGGTTTCTCAGATTTGTTCATGTATCGAAACAGATATATTTTAAAACATATTGTAAACCTTGTAGGGTTGTGTACCATGCAAGCTTACAATTTAATATAAAAAAATTGTTTAACATAAATTTGAAAATCTAAACCTGTACGGCCATCTAAGCACAAGGGCCATAAATAAAGCATCTTGGAAATTGTCTTAGAAGCTCTTTAGAATCTAATCATTTTACAAACGTGCTTTGAAATTAAATTGTATCGAAAAAAAATTGTACTCGTATTATTCACAAGTAAGGTTAGAAGTTCCTTCTTTTCATTTATGTTAACGTCAAAGTTTATAATGCCACCCCATGAACGTTGTAATAATAACAAATAAATTTATAAACAGTTTCGAAAGGAGATGTACTACGTAAGTATGTCTCCTTTCAAAAATGCCCGCCGATTTCTTGCAAACTTGCAAACAATAAATAGGTAAGAGAGATAAATAGAGTTGGTGGATAGCTTTTGACCGATTGTCGAACTCACCATTGTGGCAACACGAAACACGTGGCAGTAGTGGCTTCTTGTGGCATGGTCCTTAGTGATGTATGCGAAGTGGGTGAGGTCGTCAGCGTCTTGACAGGCGCAGTGGATGTTTCGGATCTCGTGCTCGCATATCAACTCCTAGCGGCCAGGAAGAGAGCAGAGATAAAATAGGTCGACGGCAACTAGGTTGATACTAACAAAAATAGAGGCTGCATTGTAGTGAAATTAGATAAATAGTAGATGTATTTATTACTGATAATTTCCATTTAACAGTTAATGGGCTTTTTTCCGAACCGGTAGCAGTGTTTTTGACAATCAATATGTGTACTACATACAATACATAAACATAGAAAACTATAGACCGATAAGCCTTATGTCAAACCTGTATAAAGTTTTTGCAAAGATTATATTAGATAGAATAAGTACACAGCTGGATGAACAACAACCAGTAGAGCAAGGTTTTCGGAAAGGATATTCGACTATTGACGACATTCATACAATTAAACAGGTATTGGAAAAATATGAGGAATATAAAAAAACGATTTATATAGCTTTTATAGACTATGCCAAGGCTTTCGATAGCATTAACCATGAATACATCTGGGAAAGTCTAGAAGAACAAGGAATATATGGTACCCACATCAAAATCATAAAATCTTAGCCTTTGCCAATAAGCACACCTAGCTACGGGACTTTCTGTAGTTTATTTTATTTCTTAGTTAAGTATAGTGTAAGAACCTTTAGCGCTCGGAATAAACGGCTTAATTATTATTATGATTATGTGTAATACTTCTATATTGAATAAAGATTTTTGAATTTGAAAAAAAAAAACAACGCAAATTACGGTACAGATTCTCAACATTCTGAACTAGGAGATGGATATATGCTTTCGTTCGTTCTTCTTATGGCAATAATTATGACAGAATAGTCTTTAGATAAGTTTAAGAAGATATGATAAACTTCTGTTTTCAGAAAATCATTATTTTTTTTCTTGATCGAGAAAATGATGAGATTATGTTAGGTATAATAGGGAGGAAATACACACACATGAATTGTTCATGAATGTCTAAGGATTTCTTTATTCATCTTGTATTATATGTAACAAACCCATACTATATATTGTGAAAATAAATTATATATCAATCATTACATCACGATAACTGACCTTAAGAAAGTGCATTGGTCCAGCTTAACTATTTACTTAATACTAGAGTGCTTAATATTATTTCACAATACTCATCGAATGCAAGAATAATATAAACACATTATCGATAAGTTTTTATAACGCTAAAAATAATGCTGATGTTTTCTTCGACTTAATGAAGGTGATTATTATTTTTTTTTATGAAGAGACAGATGAAATGCAGCGAAATGCGTCGTTTGCCAAAGGTATCAATTATGCGGTGTAACTAAGCGTAAAGTGACCTGACATTTAACTGGTCCCACAAAAGGAGAAGACAAAGCAATCCTTCCTACTAAAAGAAATATAAAAGAGAGATCCGTGGTCCGATGAGGCGTAAACACTGGTCCATAATTAAAAATCAAGCGGACAGAGTCGGGGGCTTTTGTTTGGTGGACCCCAGTTTGGGATCCACCGAGGTGGGGCTGTTTGCCCTTCGCACGCTTGGGTGCGCGTCAAAGAGATCAGTCTTTTATGGAAAGAATTTTCTGAAGTAAATAACGATGCTCGCTGGCATCATTTGAGGCGAGAAATTTTGTAGCAGCTCTCGCATAATGTTTTAGCCTCTCGTTCTGTTAACAAATTATTTCACAATTAAGCGTGGACGACAAAACGCTTTAAAGACCAAAGCTCTTACGAAGCATCTCGAGTTCTCGATTCGCAATTTGTCATATTCACTTGAACACTTCGTTCTTCGTGATTCTGACGATTTACGAATCGATTCGAAGAGCTTGTTGCCGTTTTAGTTGCGAAATTAACGATGAAAATCAAAAGTTTTAATGCCGAATGACAATAGAAAAGTATTAGATTTATAAATTTCTTACCCTCGTAATGGTGTTCAAGAACTTTACCCCCCTATAACTGATGGATAGTATAATGTCAGGAGAGTCCCGGGGCTCCTTTGTCGTTTTCTTTAACTTCTGTATCGACTTCTTCGTCGATTCGGTTCCCCTTAGCTCTTTCACAACCGTCGAACCCAAGTACTATTAAAGAAATATTTAATTACATACATAGATTAACAATTAAACAGAATCTCAGATGTTTTATTTATATTATTTGGTAATCAACTGTAGTAGGGCCACGGAACAGTCTTCTCTGTTGCACGAATGGGCAGGTCGGTTCGGTAAGGTACTACGACCTCACAGAAGACCGGCCTGAAGTGGAAGTGTAACACTTCTGCGTTTCGTCTGGTGAGTGAGGGGCCCATTTTATTAGGAGGTGGCAACACATCTGCAACCCCACGGGTGTTGCAAATTCTAATGAGCGACGGTGATCACTTGACATCAGGTTAACCGCAAGCTCTTTTCCCACTTTCTGACATAAAAAATTATGAACATATATAACACTAAGGCTGCCTGACTCTAACCTGTTACATATTGTTATTTCAAATTTATAAAATATAATAGAAACATTCATTAGCAGTTTAACGGTTTCAATTTATCGAGTCAAACTCACATTAGCTACGTAGGTCACAGCTCCCGTCACCAGCACGAATGGCTGGTGCTTCCATTGTGTCTTCAAGGCTCCTGGTACCCCGACCAATAGTTCCGAGGGCGCTCTAATCTCCAGATCCGAGGGTCTAGGCGGCTGCGGTGCTGGCCTATTCTTCTTACTACGTTTGAGCGTCTCACCGCCAGGTGGCGCTAGGGTAGGAACAACTGGAGGCGGAACTGGTTTCAAGTTCTCGGAGGGCGGCAGCTTCTCCTTGATCTCTTCTTTCAATTGCTGAATGTTGCTTTTCTGTGGACGAATTGAGGCAATAAGAACTCATGCAACAACAAGACTCAACTTTTGCTTGTTGACATATGAGGTAACAAAAATTATAGTTTATTATTACAGTACACAGATTTTTTATATCAAAGGAATGGATGGGCTGAAATAACGGCAACGGTTCAAAATTTTATGTATAATACGCTTAAAGAATCACATACATCAGAGACAACCTCTACTTACATCAAGCATTTAAAGTAATAAAAAGTAGGGTAGTAAACAACCTATGCCTACAAATATAGATTTTTTTAGGTGTGGTTTCCTCACAGTGTTTTCCGTCGCCGCTGATCAAGTGATAAGGACTTAAAATTAACAATGTCATTGGTGCACGCACTGAGGATTGATCTCTGGAGTAGACTGAATTAAAAGCGAGCAACCGGACAATGACCTATCACGGCTATAATTATCTAACGAAACGCAAAATTTAGATACTTCAACTTCTGCCTTTTGTGGTACATATCCGTCGATCCGGCTTTATTTAGGTATATAACATCATAATAAAAAAATTGTAGCCTTATTCCACTTAATAAAATATACATAATTAGGAAGTTCAGGCAATCAAGAACTGATGACGAATTTATTATAAAAAGAGATCGCGTCGATGAAAACAAAGAGGAGATGAAAAGAAAAAAAAAACTAAACAGACACCTGCAAAAAGTGCTCAAACTAATTGAAACAGTGTTCGACGATGCCAATGACAAAAGGGAGAGAGGCATCCGACGGTAGCGCGACAGTTCACACTTCAGGAGTGTAAAACAAAAGTAATGATGCAAAACAGAAATAAAAACGCGCGGAACAGGCGAGCGTGAAGTTTTAATTAAGGCCCTAAAGAATAAAAGGGACGAGAGGAATATAATTGACACCGTGAACCGTCTAATTTGTTGCGAGTGCCATTTGACGGTAATAAAATTGTAGGACGCAACAGACGTATTCAGGCCGCGTTGAATGGGATGATTCCGTTGCGATGGCTCCGAATGGAGAAAGGGAGATCGGTGCCCCGGCGACGCTAGTTTCTGGCGCGAACCACGTGTTTTCGAACGTCTTTCAAATGGTCGAGTAGACAAAATCAATGTAGAAAGGCTGAAAAAGAACGATGTTTGGAATGATGAGTTAAGTCATGTCTTTTAAAGGCTATCATAATTATCACCATTTCGACTACAATTTTGGGATTTTAAAACCTTGATTCTCAAACTGTAAGACATAAAACATACAATATGAGCTGTAAGTTATATAACATTTCATATAACGTCGTAGATAGTTATACCAATTTATTTACTAACGGAAAAAATATAAAACATCGAATAAAGAACTAATCATCAATTTTAGACTAAATCATCAATTTATTTCATTATTTAATGAATGAAATAAATTGATGATTTTGTCATCTGTCATCATCATATTTATTAAAATTATTAGTAAAACAGTAATTTCGTAGTGTGCTCATGTGAAGATTAGGACCAATAATCGACTATTTAATAATTATTCTGTCTTATTTACTTTGAATTAAGAATTACCTCACATAACCGTCTTCCGGCCCTCATGTACATGTCGGAAATGACAGTCAAGATTTCCTTAGTCCTGAAGCGATGTCCATCGACGATTATCCGTTTCGTGAATTGGAAAACCTCCGGGGTGAATTTCCCCCCATTGACGGGTTTACCGCAACCCGAGGTATCGGCTCGCGTTTTAGTGGCTTACCAAGCCGCGCCGCGAGTGCCTCTCTTGCCGTATGAATGGCGAGCTTTGAATAGGCCTCGGGATTGAGCACTAATTACCTATACGTGGCTGGCGACGTGTGAAATTAAAAAAAAAAGACTCAGCGCGCCACGCACCCACAATCACTAGCGTACGCTCACAATTAACGGGGCATTTGAGATTTATATGCGAGTTATTTAATGCTACTCTCGATTTGTAGTTTTCCCGCTGCGCAATCTCAATGTATTTCATTAAATAACTCAGGAGCCCTCGTTTTTAAAACCGATATACATAGACCTACATATACAAACATGCCCTACATACAAGTATGTAGCCCGTGCCATACAAATATGCTTATATTTGTATGGCCATTAGAACTTCTAAATAAACATTCAAAATAAATATCGCCGAACGTTTTTTTTATCTTATGTTTCTAAGCATGAAATTCTTTATAAGGTACGGTTAACTAGTATCGTAGAGACGTTCAACGTAGGTGTACTTCGAACCTGACTCTTCTAACGCGTCTAGACGCTCTAACAGCTAAACGGCTGATATGATCATGTCGCGAAAGCTTTGATACCTTTCTTTCTTGATTGAATTTTTAGCATTAGCCCCATCCATGGTGCATAATTAACAGCATGCCTACACTTTTGAGATGTCAAGCCTACACTTGAACAAGAGATGTCGCTTATGCTAGTAAAAATTTAAGGTCAACTTTTTATTTCTGTGCATTACTCGAACAATTTTTTCCACTTTTTTACACAAATTACAATTTTTTCTGGATAACAAACAAATTCACATTTAAATTCCATCTTGAGTGTATCATCAGTGACTTGGAGAGACTAAAATTAAAAAAAAATTATCGATAATAAAAAAGAAGACTAATTACAGATTAGCTGAATGAAAATGGCTCACGTATAAAGGACGATATAAATAAGTAATACACGAATTTCAATTAACAAACTGTAGAAGAACTAATATCATCAAAGCGCGTCCTCCACCTAACCCTTAATTTTGTCGTCAGCTTATTTCTCCCGGGTCGTACATTATCACACCTGTAGGGGTTGCCTGGTTACCCCCCACTGCACGTGCGTGATTGTAATTACGAAGCAGATGAGCAATTTAACAGGGATTAGCCATTTTAATCTTGTCACATATTTTGCGGCGGTGACGCGCGGGCGTCAGACTATTCATCTAAATCTCAACCTATACTGTACGTGATTTCATACCATGTCCTAGTTCTCGTAATACCCCAAGTTAATATATTGAAAAAGAGAATTTCGAATAATGAAGTTAATGGCTAAAAACTTTTTTATTTTACTTTACGTAAAATTAAAATCTCACCCAGGTCCCCTCTAGTGTTGATTTCTACTGTCATATTTAGGCTGGAGTTTCTAACAAAATCTAGCTGACGCTGACTTTGTTAGAAAAACTAGCTTCACGCACCGTTGACTATAGAAAACGTTTTAGTAAAGTCATGACGAATGTCTTTGAAGCCATGCATGCATGGCTGCGCAATGATTTACTAAGTGCTGCGTACGACAACCTAGGCGCAAATAATACCGTAAACTTTTTACGCGAAGGTGACTAATTCCCCTTCTTAGTCGTATCAGTCTTGACAGACTGGACGTGGTGTTCATTCATTTTGACTTCGTAACCCACTTGACTATACGCCATCACTCTTCCTTAGTCGTTGCCTTTCCTGTACATCCAGGGGGATATCCACTGATAAGAAGGCGGATTATCTGATTTTAATAGATTATTGCCTCTCATAGATATTCACAAATTTAATTGCAATCGCGTCGCCGACCCTAAAAACTTACTTATCACCATATTCTATGCGGCCGCCCCATTTATGCAGCAATAAACAATCGGTATACTGTGAATCAATTAAGTAGAGACAAGTAAATCATAATAAACTATATTGTACAGATACATATACACATTATACACATATAACGACCAAAAGCCAAAGGTCCCTTAATGAATTAACCCGAATAAAATGAATGTAAGAAAGGATTGCAATGGTGCGGGGCCATCAATAAAATATTAATAAAGGAAATCTTTCGTACATTGATTCATCACTTACGATGCACAATCAATTCGGCTCTTTGTGTTGTCAAAAAAAAAAAAACGTTACCGTGAATGGCGGAACTGTAAGATTTGACAGATTGATTTGAATGCATTACCGTACACAATATGCGAAAGACCATTTAAGATGAATAACAAGAAAAAGTGAAGTGGAAAAAATAGGGATTAAACTGACTAATGGATTAATGAAGTAAAAGTTTACATATTATGATATTAAGACGTAGACGGCACAAAGGTATGTTTTAAAACCGCATGCGAAAAAGACACGAATGGACAAAAACAGATAATACAAACATTTGCGTAATGGAAGAATACAAACTGCATGTGCAGGCGATAACCCTAAGCAGCTGTAATCGTAAATTTTATTATAACACTTAATAAACGATTTATCACCTCTACTAACGCTCAGTAATCATTAATAAACCCAAGTCGTATCACAACCATTTCCTCAATCACATCATATTAGTTATCAACTTGAAGCACCGCGATCGGATATCCTCTTTACGGACGTTTGATTGAATGTATTGTCCTGAGGTCTCGATAGGGCATTGCATTATAAAGGGTCCTGTCATATACCTTTAACGTTATTTAATATCCAATGTTTAGTATTTGCTATCGCGAAAATACAGTACAGTTAATACAATAAATGAGTTAAAGAAGATATTTATGAGTCTTGTCGACAGGTTATATATTTTTATTCTATTTTTATACGCAATTTTGTTCAACACCTAATCTAATCTATCTCACCGACACGATTTCTCGGAAGAGACATTAAATCGGTTTTTTTCCCCAATATAGAACAAATAATAATACTAATTACAATATCTATCTCATGGACGTTATACTCCATGAGGTATAAAGGTATGTATATATGAGGTTCACAAATTTACGCTTAAAGTAAATATATTAAAGTAAATTCATTGCCTATGTTAATTTAAACTTCTTCAACAAATTCGACCGCTGTGACAAATCCGTTAAGTTATTCCGGCTTCAAGACAATAATTTACGTAGAATATGTCGTTATATACACAGTTTCATCCACACTAGACTAGAGTCATATTTTATAAACATAAAATGACGCGTAATATGATTGCGTAATTCTTGCAATTCCTAGAGCGTTTATATCTATTAAATACTTCAATTTCATATCTTTATGAATTCTTATGGCACTAGTATGTCCCACGTAATGTATTCAGGTCACACGTACGCTTTTTGTCGGACAAATGAGGGACTGAGTGCATAATAAATTGATATAACGTTGAATAAAACTATTAATTTTAGGATTATTTTTGAAGGTGAAACATTAAATTGTTAATTTTTATACATAAATGAATAATTCCGCCCTGCGGGATTAAAATTTAACTTATTATCAAACGTTAGAACATTATCATTCATCTATGACACATAGGATACCAATATTCAAGTGAAGAGTTGAAGCGTTTCATATTAACGTGTTTAGTACTCAGTGGTACGCACTATATGTCTCCCTATTAGTGCACTGTGCGACAGAGATAACACTCTACGATGCCGAAGTTAGCCAACTGTCTCTTTCCAAAGGTCTGCAATGTTTACCACCAAGTACTATAAAATATTTTTAATTAGTAACACTTTTTAACATCTTAAATATTTGGAGATTTATAGGACCACAATTTTTTTTCTATATGGATCTACCAACAGTTAATGTTGCCCTTTAGGAGGTCTTTACAGGTATACTGAGGTGGGGGCGGGCGCTGACAGCGCCTAGTCTAAATCTCTCTTTCTCTCCAGTGAATAAGCTCGTGGGCACCCTAGGGAGCCTCGACTGGGGTAGTCACCCTAATAATATTAATACTGTATTGGGAAGCCTCCATTATCTCTCTCTCTATATAATCTCTTAGATTGCTTTGGCTCCATGGAGTAACTAGGCGCACGGACCCCGAGAGGGGACCTCGGCTTGGATTGGTATTCAATGACCGTTTAGATTTCCGATTCGAGCGTGCCCGAGATGGCCGGACCTCAGCTCGGTTGGTAGCTATTGTCGGACTACGGGACAACAATGTACCAAAAGCAGACAAAAACCCATAAAGTTAGTGACCCATAAGCCTAATCCGAGCCATTAAAACAACCAATAATCAACAATAGTTTATTTATTAACGACGACTTACCAAGCCTGAACGTTACTTTCAACACACAAACTTAAAAACAACAAAAAAAGAAAATACGCGAACCAAGAAGCTAACCTTGTCCCTGTACTTCAAATTAATCTCCGCGCCGTGATTATCTTTAAGAGCCCCGTTGACCTCGATATGCAAACTTGCTATAGCAATCTAGTTCGACCAGTCTCGACCTTTATCATTAATATTTATTAGCGAAATCTGTTAAAAACTCACCAAAGTGTTGAGGTCTGCATTGATGTCTTCCATGTTGTTTATCGGACCGTTGTGTTCTCCCGACACCGAGCACAGAATCCTTTTCCTGTGGCCAGGCTTCTGTATCTCGAGCACTGCGGTCAACTCCACCTCCCAAATCCTCTTAACTCTATCCATGTCCACATACAAGTGCTTCCTGAAGGTATCGCTGTATTGCTCTAGATTGATATTCCTCAGCCACTCGTCGACGTTTCGTTTCGGCTCTTGCTTATGTTATTATTGTTATGGTTATTGCTTATCTCCGTTATTTTCAATGGTAACTGTTTCGAGGACTCTAGAATCTTCTGTCGATCGTTCTCCTCTATTCCCATTTCGCGTAGGTCGTTCTCGTCTAAGATGCCGTTCTGGAAGCAAACCGTCGAATCAGACGCGCCGATTTCAAGTGCTTTGGTTGCCATTAAATCGTCTAGACCCCTTCCGTTAACAGACACGGGTGTTTGAGTATTAAACGCCAATCAAAACACTTCACACGTCGTCTAACGCCGGACGTATCACAGGCCGTTCGTTATTTAGATTCGATAAACGAGTGTTAGATAAAAAAGATTGGGAGATGCGAGACGGAAATCAAAACGGTGCGTCTTGACTGAGTAAATATATACGATATATTGGAAACATCTCACGTATGTCGTGTTTCCATAAATCAGGATATGTATTTGGATTTATTACTAAATCTAAATCCACCTGTGTCGCAACCGGCTATTAGAGAAGTTGGAGAAGAACAGTAAGCTATCATCGATATCGATGCAATGAGTCATTTGGACCCATTACAACAAACCCCTAAAACTTGCCTATCTACATTACTACTTACATATACAATACATACAAAACTGCATTATAGTGCTACAGTGTTATTATAGTCACGGCACTCTTAGGGCCACGCAATAGTCTTCTCTGTTGTATGAATGGAATGAATGAATGGACAGGTCCAGATGGACCTGTCCATGATATATATGATGTTATAATTTGATAAATAAATGATAATACTCCAATAGATATGAATGTCAAATGTGCGGGAAATCGATGGATGCAAGTGACTCAGGATCGGCAGTTTGTGGCGGAGGCTATGTTCAGCAGTAAACTCAAGCTGTCTGGAATGATAATGATGATATATAAATCAATATCATATTAGTTATGACAGATACTTATTGCAGCGAAACACTGTAGCAGAAGTATTGTTACATTTTTTTAGTTTTCACGTAGATATGGAAGCGGCTAAAGGGTGTTTAGAAACGGAAATCTAAGTGGAAAGCGACATCTAAGTGGAAAGCGGTGTACCAAGTCGCTTTTGCGGTGGTATGGCCACGCAGCAGCCTCGGCTGTTGCACGAATAGGCAGGCTGGTCCCAGTAAGTACCACCACCTCAGAAGACCGTGCATAAAGTGCAAGTATAATACTTTCGCGTTTCGTTTGGTGAGTTTGGTGAGTGGCCGGAGCCCAATTTTGAAAAGGTTGTGAACGCATCTGGAAACCTCGGGTGTAGCAGATGTTCATGGGCGGTGGTATTCACTTAACATCAGGTGAACCGTCTACTCGCTTGGCAAATTTTCACACAAAAAAAAGTTCATACTCACAATGAAATCGATATCATCGTAACCGCTCTCCAAGAAGAGCGGCTCGTAGTCGTGCAGGCCGATGCTCGATAGCCAGAAGCCTAAGTTGGATGTGACTGAGGGGCTGAGGCTTGACTCGGAGCAGCTCAGCCCCAGCCTCGACGTGAACTCCTGCTCCAATTCGGAAACGAACACGGACTCCCGCACGAGCTTGCTGCCAAACGATGCCATTATTTCCGATATCTTCGCCCATTCCTCCTGTTGGGGGGGAAAAAAGTATTATACAAATGCAGGTTACCATCACTACGTAGTATAAAACAAAGTCGTCCCGCCTGTCGCAGCCCTGTCTGTCTGTCCCTTGTATGCTTAGATCTTTAAAACTACGCAACGGATCATGATGCGGTTTTTTTTGCTAGATAGAGTGATACAAGAGGAAAGTTTATAATATGTATAATACATTGCACCCGTGCGAAGCCGGAGCGGGTCGCTAGTTCATTATAATTGTTATTTATCCTTCAATACTCTTTTCATATTTACCTTCTCTTTAATAACTGCTTTATTTAAAAGTTATCTTACTTTTAATCACATTAATTAATAGTAGTAACAGTTTATTATACGAAGAGCTTAAATAAATACCATATAAGGCATTCTTGGTTTGACCTAGTAAATAAATATTTGTGTGAAATTTATATTAAACTGTTCAAAAATACTATTTTGCTATAATACGCCTGTAGCGTTACATACGTTATCGATATATCAATTCATACCTAAAATAAATCTTTTATGATTGCATTAAAAAATCGATAAGAGTCGCCACTGCATACTGATTTTCGATAAAAATGCGCTTACCACGATTAAGCGGACGATTTCTTACAGATTATATTGCAACTATCTATTTGTCATTGCGTAAACCCTTTGGGTTTTGAACATATCAGCGATATTTAGTTTTTTTTTTATTCTCTTTGTGTAAACCAAATAAAATGTAATAATTTACAGAATAAGGTAAGCGTTGAGTTAATTTTTCTTTTTACCCAATTGCCAAAGGAAAGTAATGTATTTCGAACGTTGTATGTATTTTCAGCATGCTCAACAGCGTAAACATCTTGATGGATTTCAATACTTGAAATTTGTTCATACCCCAAATACAGGAAGTAACATATAGGTATATTACTTTACTATGACGTCCCAGTATAAACAAGTGGAGGGATAGAATATTAATGCAATCTAATTTTTGTATTATTTAATAATCTTATAATTAAATGTCTTAATCCTTTCCAGTTAAAGCACAAACTTCATTATTTATTTTTTTACGAAAATGAGCAGACAGTTCAGCGAATAGCAAGTGATAATTGGCACCCGTGGACATTCATAACACCTTTGGGATGCAGTTGCGTTTGCAACTTTTAAGGTGGCAGTCATCAGTAACCAACCTAACCATTAAAGTGTAAATAATTGCAGTTTACGCAGACAAGCAGCAACAGGAGCCGCTGGCTGGTCATTACTAAAAGTTATTAATCTGACAGAATGAAAATACTATATCTTTAACCTGAACTGGTTTGTTGCACATACTCACACACGAAGTTAGACGTAAGGACACCTGCCCTTTGAAACAACTGCCTTCACAACATGAAATCGTTATCGACATCTGCATGTAGCATGCAACATTTAGCATCTGCCTTCGGAAAAGTGAATGTAATGCAAATTAAAGGAACTTGTTTTATTCGCATCACATAGTTTGACGTCTCACCGTCATTGTTAAACCAGTCTCATTTCGGTTGAATTTCTTTCTTTACATTCTAATCAGAACTACGGTATGAAGGATACGTTTATAAAAATTGTTTTTGTAACCGCCAGCTCATTTGTCACCTCACATAAAAAAGACGCCTGTGGAATTGCAGATGTCAAAATCAAATTGCTCAAGACATCAGATGAAAGAAAGAGTATAACATATAATACTCCCACTGTACGTCGGTCTACTGTGAGGGCCGTGGTTGTATCCCCAACGAGTCTATCCAATCTTGCAACAGCAGATGCTACTGCGTGGCCTACTGGTCTATTATGCAAACTAAAATATGAATGGAAACACGAATTAAACTGTTATCACACAGCTCTTCGAACAGTATCTAGAAACAAATACTCACTAAATCACTCGATCACGTCCATATCAAAATCAAAATCAAAAATATATTTATTCAAATAGACGCTTGCGCGCTCTTATGAATCGTCAAATTTTACATCAAAGATTATGTATATAGGTTCGTAAGGTACCATAAAAAGTTTTATCTAATAGGTAAGTGCAAATTTTATGTATGTATGTGTATTTGTTGATAATTTTAGTTATTTTTCACCCAATGTAAGTCATAACCGCCGTCCATTGACTTTTGCAGCACCTAGTAGCAGATTGGTAGCAGATGCGTTGCCCCACCTTTTAACAATGTGGACCCCGGCTACCTCACACACCAGGAGAAACGCAGAAGTATAACACTTCCACTTCACGCCGAAAGCGCCGGTTCCGCGACATCGTGTGTGATTGAAGCCATCCAGCCGAAGTCAACCCACATCGACCGCGGGTTACTCTGCCCCCGCCGCTGCTACATCAAGATCATCAACTACTACTACTGTTACAACACTGCAACCACCGGCAAACTCAGCTACGAGTAATATTAGAAGCCACCGTCGTAGACGCCGCGGGCGCACCGCTCCCGCGACAACATCCCAAGAAAATAGATTACCGACGAATTACGATAATCGCGATCGCGACCAGGCCACTACTACGGAAACGGAGACAGCACTACCACAGCGCCCCCCCCCCCCTCCCCCGCTCGAGAAACCGCTTACCGCAAGTTAGCGATACAAGAAGACCGCAATTCGCAGAGACGCAGAGAGCAAAGCCACCACTAACGCGCCGCCCCCTGCGCTCCCAAGGAAACCAAAACACAATTGAAGCCAACACAGCAGAAGAATTCGCCGAATTGCTGCGGAGTTTAATCCGCGCCCTATCAGAAGCCTTCGCAGACATCCTCACCGACATGGCGAGAGGTTCAACCCCTGGGAGCGCGGTCACGCGCGCCTTTACCGCAATGCTCGCTAACCACTATAGCGAGCATTGAATTATGCTTACATAGGTGCCTCGTTCAAGACGCACTTAATACTGTCACGCCTTTAGGCGTCAAATACCGGGAGTCCAGTGTGGCCCCCGCGACGAAGCCCGGGTCATGAGGTTATATCCTCGACACCCGTACCTGCAGGCCCTCCAAGGCCATGTAGAAGACCCGTGTGGTGTGTGGTGGTTCACGCCGATCTTTTGTGAGGTCGTCATATTTACCCGGACCGACCCGCCCATTCGTGCAACAGCGAAGACTGTTGCGTGGCTCTACCACACACAAAATACCGCGATTTCAATATTTGTTTTTACAAAAAAAAAAAACGACACTTATTACGCATTCAAATGCTCTCAGTCAAACTTGTTGCGTTTATCGAGATTTGCATATTTGAATATGCATTCAGTTTTTCGTGTCAGTCCATCATTATCATTGTACCCTTGGGTTTTGCAACGCGCAACTTTACCTAGAGACGACGTTATGAAACATTATAAATATCGATAAAATACATTTTACGTCAAATTATTTAAAAAAAATACGAAGTCAAAATACACAAGCTGTTACCGACTCGAATATCGACTCTATACCGGTCTCATATTCTTATTACAAATGATAAGTTCCAAGTTCATTTGATTTTCGAAGCACCAATAAGGCGATTTTAATGATAGACTTTCATGAAAAATAAGGTCTTATGGCCATCCACCTCCTCAGGAAAATCAACAAAAAGATCGACGCGAAACAATTACAGACACGTATTACGTACCAATGTCCTAGTGCATGATTAAAAGATATAATATTTACTCCTATAGTTTACAGCACAATATAGATGTTTATTTACCTATGGGCATGACAAATTCAAATTCTTCATTCATCGATATCTCATTTACGACATATCCCATCCCTACTCCCGATATAACCGCTGGTGTAATAGCCGAGTACTAATTTCCGCCTCTTCCTGGCATTGTAACATGGGGCTGTTACTTTAGTGTAATTGGTAGCACGTCATGGAAATTCAGCTAACTCGTTTGCATATCGCACAATAGCGTAACACGTGACGTGACATAACGTGCTAGGCATTTTAAAACGCTTCAAATGACCGTGTTAGTATCAAAATACTTGGCGATAAAAAAACGTTTCGCAACTGTTTGAATCATTTATATGAATGTTACTTATACAATCATTCGAAGAATATTAGTTATATTTCGTTTACTACTAAACTTAGTTTCATTACACAAACTGATTGAGGTACTTGGGCAAACATATTATGCTCGTACGTTTATATCTTTGGTCGGGCTTTTGGTTTCTGTTTCACTTTAATTAACTCGCTTAATTATTATTGCTTTACGTCAATGTATTTTAAAATAAACATTTTAAAAGATGCCATGTTCACATTGACAAAGTAATTAACATCTCGACTAATTATAGACAAAACAATCCGCGACTTACATAAACAACACTAGGTATATAAATAATGTTTTAAATTATTAATACGAACTGTTTCATTTCATACTAAGAATTTGACACTCGTCGATAGAATAAAAACTTAAATGTTAATGCGTAACAAAAATATTATCTGTGTCGATCAGAATTCAATATGTACATAAATGTACAATGTTAACTACAATGATTGTAAATAAAATAAGACTAGCACTAATTTTTGTATTAGATAAATCATGGAACAGTTGACAAACACGATAATAAGTCCTAGATCTAAGTCTGCTTGTCTTACTAATATTAGAAGTTGTTTATTTTACGACGCTATGATTTACAGCTCTGTTGTATTGTTGTGATATAAATTGTTATGGAAAGGTTTCGCTCAGAATTAATTATAGAGCTAAGACATAACATTTTGTAAACATCATTAATGGTGTAACATTTCTCTTATATAATAAAGTAAAGTAAGCCTTCATCATTTCACTAAAAACTAAGTAAAATACAGTGAAAAATACCAAGACATATAACACTACAGTATTCTAAGAAAGATATTTAAAGTTAAGCCATCATACACTGCAATAATTGCATGGATGGTACGTGACTAAGGAATGTCGAGCAAATGACTCTATTTTATAGTGCCGTGATAGCTCATTGTTCGGACGCTCGCCTTTAATTATGTTTATTATTATATTTATTATACATATTCGACCAACCTGAATTCGATTCCCGGGTGCCCTCCTCAATTAAATTGTTAATTTGAAGTGTCCTTATCACGACGTGATTGACAGTGAAGGAAAACTGCATATTTTCGAAATAATAACAAAAAAATCATTTCGTATATACAGGGAGATTTTTTGAGAAGTGCCCAACTTTACACAGGAGGTTCAGACTCGGTAGTATAATCGTTTATTGAAATAAATAACAGACTTGTTTTTTCCAAAAAATGCCATTCTATTCCCTAAAAAACAGAACGTATTTACAATGCGGTAGTCATTCATAAATACCTAAATTTTACTGTGCACGAACTTGTGTGCGTGTTAGTTATGAATGATCGCGTATAAAATGAATGAGTTGCGTATAAACTACGCACTTTTTGAGATACGTTCAAATGAATGTAATCAATTACTTACGAGTGATTTTAAATATTTATCGTTTTTATATAACATTATTTATGTCTAGAATTTAATTTAAAAAAATGGATACACTTAGAAAAGCCATCCTGTATATAAGTCCAATCCGCAATGGGCCGTATGGTGGACCATGCTCTAACACCCTCTATACACATAGGACGTCTTTGCCCAGCTGTGGGATATATATGTTGTTACTTTTCTTCACATATTGCCGAAACGTAACGCGAACAAAGCATCGACACGTATATAAACTTAACTCTTAGGCTTACGAATGCAGCTCACCTGCTCGTCGAATGGGCTGAGAATCGACAGCGACTTGTCACCACTGTGCGTCGAGCTCGTCGTATTACTCCGCCTCCTGACTTCGTCCTCCACGCCGTTGACATTCCTGTCCGTCTGTCCATTGCTGCTCAGGTTGGTGCTGGTGATGGTGGGCGGGTCCGTCGGCGAGGCGTCGTACACCGACTTGAGTTTCCGTAACGTTTTCGGCCTTTCCGCTGGCACCGGCCGCAGACCGATGCCGTCGAGAGTCGTAGTCGAGCCTTTGAAGAGGCCTGCAGACAAGAGAACTAGATTTAGTTATGATGGCAAGACGAGGATGAATACTTAATATGATAATCACCATCTAAATGGATAGATGGGTGATGATAGGAATGTATGAGCCGAATTTAACGAGTTTGAGGATCAGTCCAAAAATGGAGAATAAGAAGAGAGAATGTGGCAATACAAATATGGGCGCAAACAATGCGCCGTAAATAAATCGTGCTTTTATGGCGTTATTCGAATGACAATCGTCACATTGAGGGCAAAAAAATTTTGAAACCAAGTTCTTAAAGAAATTCTAGTTTGCCGTTGGGTTTTCGACTATAGGTCGTAAAACACTATTCGGCATACGTAAAAGGAGCCCGTAATGGAATTGCAAGTGCAATCAAATACAAAGGTCATTAATCCACGGCAGGTGCGGGTCTTGAACGCTGATAACAAACAGCAGATGTTGCGGTTATTAATAAACGCAGGTGAACAATTGAACACGAGAGGGCAATGGGTTTACCGTAAGGTTGCATGTAAATAAAACTGGATAGTCTGTCCTAAATTTTCACAGTTAAACCTCGGTGTTAGAAGTTAGGTCCCGGTTACCTCACTCACTAAATAATACCTTATAAGCTGAACTTCTCAGAACGAGCGTAGGTTTCGCACAGTAAAATGTATACAGGAAACAAGAAACCAAAGAGCAATACGAGTTGGATCCATGTCGATCAATGGACAGATTTTGGTTCGGGCGAATTTGGAAACACGTGTTAAAAAACAAAACAACATATATATAACTGGGGCGCCACATACAAAAGCGAAACGCTGATGTATCAGCGGGAAATTAAAAAAAAAACACGAATGCACAATAACGAAAACTGGGATATGTATACAAATGCTGCTTTTACATTCGGGTCAGTGATACAGAGCACGAGAACGGTTTCGCCGCTGATGTGCCGATCTGTAAACGTTTCAAATGCCGTTGTTTGGAAAAAAGCGGCTGTAAGAAAAGTGAAAACTGGTTTCGCCGTCAGCTATCCGTGCCAAGGTTCAAATGCCTGGGAGAGCATAACAAACCGGCTTTCTGGGAACTAGTGCGTACCGAATCATTTTGAAAGTCATTTGGATGATAAAAAAACTTCAAGGTGGTGACTCGACTGCACTTGATCGTGTGCCATTAAGATAGCACTCTCTGATAACGAATGCTGACTACGTCAGTGTTGGAGCTGGTGTCATAAGAAATATATAAGAAAATATAAAACTCTTTCTAATATTATAAACGCGGTGTTAGATTTTGTTTTGTTGCTTGCCAGAGTGGAAAGAATTAGAGCCTCTTCGTTGAAAACATTACAATTCTTTATTTTTCTGTACCGGTAATTACAAAATAAATCAATGCAAACTTTACTCGTCTTTATTTGAGAAGTCAAGTGACTCTGCTACTGTAAAATGTAAATTTCGTCGCATCGTCTTTTTCACAATATATGGATGTATTTAATTACCCAACTCAGATGACGCTATTATACAAATATCGGTGTAAGTAGAAGTATCTGACACAGGTGTCATCGGATTATAGATGTAGTATTGCGAAGTATAGATCATCTAGATAATGCTTACCATTGGATCATCGGTTTGAAATAGAATAGCGCAATCGGAAGCTTGGCGATAATTTTGTAACACGTTTCGCTATTTAATGAAAGGCATAACTGCGACGTTTGTCATAGAAACATGAGTCTTATTTGGTTGAGTTTATGAACTAATTTAGACGGCATGTGTGATAGGAATGATAGCGATTTTTGCTCAGTCAAACATATATCATTACGGCGCCAGAATAGTTTTGCCCTTTCATAAATTATAAATAAAATGTTTATACTTGTATGCGTTTTCTGCATTCCGTCCGATTTAATTTCTTTAAAATATCATAGCACAAGATTATATCATACATTTGTAAGATTAACCTAGTCTTCCATTTGTTTTATATAACTCGATTCTTTAAAGCAAAGTATAAGTCGCAACGCGAACTATGTCGTACTTAAGAACGTAAATCGTGGACCAATAAAACCTAAATTGGAGGACTCCAAGAAATAAAAGAAAGCAAACGTATAAACATCTCGTATGTAATAATCAAAGGGGCAAGTAAAGCAAAAATCACTGATGATAAAGAAATATTAACTCATGTGACCTCTTAAAGTTTACAGCCAGCCTTAGGCGCGCCGGAAACCGATGCAATTTGAACCAATTTGAGGGCAATAAAAGCTCGAGTGCTGAACGCTGTTCATTGCACACTGAAGATTGAACTATTAGAACAAATGGTGCGACGGAGAGTATAGCACAAGAAGTTTCACACGTGTGAGAATTACAAGTAAATAATGCAATAGAAATGCAGCGTTGTATGTTGAATAGGCACGTTGGGAAATATTGATACGGAAAACAATTTATCTATTTCAAAAGATACAAGTGGGTCGCATGGTGGACAATGCTCTAATACCTTCTGTACAGAGATATTCTTTGCCCAACAGCGGGACATACATGCTGTTACTTTACTGCACTTTTCATCAAAAGTTATATCCATATTTTATTTATTAGCACATCGGTTATATATTATATCACTTCGCAAATTCTTTAATTTTAATTTCATTATGACTTTAGCACGACAAACTGATAGCACCGTTTAAATCTGTCCTATTCCTATTATCTTAAAGAAAACTTTACGTAGCTACTATAAGAGTATTATAATACTGGATTGTAAGTGCGTTTCGAAATAAAAGTTGAGTTCATACAAAAACCCCGGTGAGATCGAACTCATGATCCGAGGTACCATTGCTTACCTTAGCGCTACTGCAACTGAGCCTGTAGTATTAGTATTTTATTTATTTGGATCGATTTCGTAGTATTGTCACTTGAAAGGTGATGCAACTGAGAAGTGACTCCAAGTTTTGTTGACGCATGCTTGTGCAAGCGTTATCCTCAAAGTAAATATATAAAAGAAATCGCAAAACTATCGTGTTTGGGTTTCATCAGAAAACTTTTCATCGCTGAGTCATTTATTCGGGACCTAGTCACTCTCTTTCTCTCTATTATCTGTATTTATACGCATAGCTATTTGTAATATCCGCCTAAATTTATACTAATTCAGATGTAAAAACAGAGTGAACTAATTCCCTGTTTAGCAGGAAGAGCTCACGGCTTTATGTTCATAACTAGGTTAGATTTCATAGTCAATTGTATCGTTATTAACTCTAATACGATTTTTGCCTCGTTTAATAATTTGTTTATGTATTAAAATGTTACTGTTCCTGTTACTAAGCTTGATAAGTCACGTGCCCTTCTATCTCCTCGTATTTCCTGGCGTAACATCTAGTAATGTTTCTATGGCGCGACATCAATAAACTCGTAAATGCATAATAGAAATGTTTAAACTTTAAAATAATGCATCGTGACTGTCCTAAAACATGAGCCATTCATCCGTAATATAGGGGCTCTTTGTAGTGCCCACACAAACAAACCACTAAACACGTAACTTTGTAACGGAATAAAGATGCGCGCCCGAATCCACAACAGTAAAAAAGTGCAGCTGCATCCAATTGCGGCGCACTCGATTGCCAACTTTACCCGCCCGGGTTTAGGTCCAAAATCATCAGGACCGTTTGAACTTACACGGATGGTGGCGACAGTGGTCGCTACCGTGAACAATGGTGGTGGAAACAATGGCGCATTGTGCCCTGTCGCGACACGTTGATGGTTAGTGATGTTACGCGGCCGAGTCCGATGCAATTACGATAACAATAACGAGACTGGTCGAGGCACTACCAAAATATACGCTAATGCGTACCCTTTATAGGAATTCCTTAATAACAAATAACCAGAAGGTAAGACGAGGGCTTCAATATAACTTTTTCCGGTAAGGCAGCGTGCCTGTTGACCGACTCCTTTCCTCGGGACTTAGAACCGATATCGTTGCACTTCTGGCTCCAGGTAGCAAAAGCCCGGAGCTATACGCCAGGTTCTGAGGCATTGTGATAGCGCAAGGATGATCTACGCCAACGATGAGTGCGAACAAAGGCTGAAACACTCCAGAGCCGTGGAGAGCATACGTCTGTCTTCAGGAGGTGGCTAGACAAGCGAAATGGTGCCGTTGCAGGTTCGCTGGAAACATGTTTGTTTCAGGTGGTAGCTATGCCGCTTCATGACGAGGGGGCCTACAGCACTGTGACCTTTGTTAAAAGGAGATGTACACCAGATAAATAATAAATCAATAAATGTGATTTATTGAACACTTAGTTACACATTTAATGGCGCCTTGACTCCCGAACTAGGATATCCTGTATTTCAGGAGCCAATCACATCCCCTAATTAACATACACTTTTGTGCCAATAAACATAAAAAAAAAACTAATTATGACAAAAGTAAAAAAAAGCGTGTGTGTGTGTGTGTGTGTGTGTGTGTGTGTGTGTGTGTGTGTGTGTGTGTGTGCGTGTGTGTGTGTGTGTGCGTGTGTGCGTGCGTGCGTGCGTGCGTGTGTGCGTGTGTGTGTGTGAGTGCGTGCGTGCGTGCGTGCGTGCGTGCGTGCGTGCGTGCGTGCGTGCGTGTGTGCGTGCGTGCGTGCGTGCGTAAACGTGCGTGCTAGTGCGTCAGCTTCAATGAGGTGAGTTTTGGAAGCTCCTAAAACAAATACAATGCTAGAAAATGATACCAATTGCCAAAGAGCTTTTTATGTAATTTTTGTTCGACTTCGGATAGACTTGCATAAACTCAGTGGTTTTTGAACGGCAGTCCAAGAATACTTTAAGCATAGCCCGCTGAGCACGTTCAACTTCAATGAGGTGAGTTTTGGAAGCTCCTCCCCAAGAACAAATACAATAATCAATAATACAATGACAAAGAGCTTTGTATGTTTTTGTCAGGAGAGACTTGCCTCAATTTTTTGAAGACGTATATTAGCCATTAGTATTATTATGCTATTCGAGATTCTATTACATGGAGCTACATGCATAGTAATGCTTAAATCTAGTGGAGGTCTTGAGTGTGCTGTTTTATGGAATGCTAAATATTTCGTTTTTTTTTGGTATTTACTGTAAGTAAATTATTTTCTAACCATTTCGTTACTTCCATTAGACCACTTTCTACGTAGTTTTTAACTAAATCCCAAGTTTTTCCATGAAATAGTATAACCGTATCGTCGGCATCCATGAGTATATCTGCATTTGTTAGCTCCATTTTGCATAACTCGTTTATATATATTAAAAATAGGGTTGGACCTAAAGTGCTCCCTTGAGGAATTCCGTATGTACAGGGTGCAGTCTGACTTATGTTGGGTCCAACACGAACTCTTTGTGATCTATTGGTCAGGTAATCTTTAAACCATAAGAGTGGTATACCTCTAATTCCATAGTTCTGAAGTCTTGTTATGAGTACTGGAACAGAATAAGTGTCAAATGCTTTTTGGAGGTCCAAAAAAACACCTATACACTTTTCACCTTTATCTAAATAATCAGCTATTTTATTTGTTAACATAAGTACTGCATTACCCGTGGAATGATTTACTCTAAAACCATACTGGTTTGCAGAAAGAATTTTTTTATTTTTTATTTGATGCTGGAGGAGTACCCAGCCTGGACGGTGCAGCGCCGAGAGATAAGCGTTAGAGAGATAGTCATGGGAGTGAGACCTCTTACTGCCTGCGGTTGATGCTATGGTTTATAGCGCAGGGCGCAAAGCTAGCCTACGCGCGCAACCTTACCCTGATACCAACCTTCCGGGCGACAAGCATGGAAGTGTTTGCCACTACAATTGCGACTCGGGAGAAATGGTGTGCCCATTGCACCAAAGCAAGACCATATGGCCAAAACGGGTGTCCTAAGCTAAGAAGTATGCCAAAGAAGTATGAAGAGTCAAAAGTATGCCGGTTTTGGGTGTTCCCGTGTCACCGACAAATGAGACAGTGCAGGTGCAACGTGGAATTCTAGAGGATACCCGTTGTCTGGCACTCCCTCTCCTCCGATTTCGCTGGTGGGGAATCCAAAGATTTGGGTGATTTTTCCAAGTGAAAACAGCCGACGATAACAATATATGTTACGCTTAAAAAAGATACATAAGGACAGTACACTGGTAACCGAAACATTGTAGATAACAGTTCTGTTTACTTAACACGCCGATATTAACTCCCAGATGTGTTTGATACATTGAACACCTTTCGCTATAAAGTCAGGCAATGATTTTTGTATATGACATCAATTGATATTATAGCCCACATCGTCCGATATCGATCCTGTAACCTCATATCACAAATCGGACATTCATCCCTCTGGGTCTAACCACCTTTTGACTATGACAAGAAGCGGAATATTGAACGCCTAGGATCGAGCCATGTGGTTAGTGCGGAGTCTTTTGTCCACTAGTTGGAAGATATGGGTTGGCGATGACGATGGCTGGTGCAAAATTTATTTGTGGTTTCATTCAGCCACTATTATGAGTGAATCAATCTAAATTAAAATACATCCATTAATCATATTTGGGCTTCATACGCGTCAATGCTCGAATTTTATTTATATTATTTTAGGATTATTTTATACGTTTTCATTCTTGTTGTATTGGATTTGACTAATTTTAAATAATGCTCGAAGCAAAATGGTTTAATAGAGGTACAATTAAATCTGGTATTATTCAGTGCGGATTGAATTATATTTATAACTAGCTGACTCGACAAACGTTGTTTTGCCATATAAATTTTTTCTAGGGGAATCGGAACGCACGCATAAAGTGTTTGATAAATTACACAGACATAGTTGATAGGTTGACATGTACAGTTTGTATCGGAAAATAAAATTGTTGCTATTTCGATTTTCCATGCAATTTTTCCATAATTTCTCATCATTTAAACCTTCCCTGAACTGCCACAAATATTTCAAAACTAAAATTAGCCAAATCGATCCAGCCGTTCTCGAGTTTTAGCGAGACTAACGAAAAGCAATCCATTTTTATATATAAGAAGATAAAGGCATACACAAAATTCGTCAAAACTTGAAAATCGAGTCGATTTTCCCCGAAACTTGACATTTATGTGATTTTTTCTATGGACAATTTGATGAATGTTTGAACAACGTGTTCGAAGTTCTAGATAAAATGGTTTCTTTACATAAAATTATGTTGTAATGAAGATGGCGCATGTCCATACTGCAGGGCGTTTAAAAATTGTTCCGCTTTACATTATATGACATATATAAGTGAATGTGACAGATAATATAGAACGTATGATATTGAAAGAGATCGCAGTCTATAGAATTGAAATCTAATTACACCATTCGGCGTAATCTTAGTGCCTCAGTTTTGGTGCGCTAGTGTCATAACTACCTCGTATTTATATATAATTGGTTATATATCGTTACGATATACACTTATTAAAGGAAAACCGCTAAAGGATAACCGTACTACACATAATTGAATATCACTTAATTAACTAGTAGAAGCGAAAGATTTCGTCTGCTGCAACTAGTGAATAAAAGTAGTTTTAAATAACGGTTGATTAAGAAACCGTAAACCTACATGAACTGTCCTTAAAAATACAAATGTACCCTACAAATGTGAATAGAACCCCCTAGTATCACAAACCATATGACTTACAATTTCCCATCGGTGTAACGATCTTTTAACATCCGGAAGGACTCCGCGAAGGACGTCATGTCTACATTAGTCACACGTTCCGATACACTAATGCCGATTCACAATATGTCATTCAACACATATCGTTAACTCATAAATACGAGTCAGACCATCGATTGACGCTCACGACACAATTGAATTCGGAACGAGATTTTTTTCCTTAAATTTTGCCAGGCAAAACAAACAGCAGACTCGACAAACTCCGCGGAGGCATAACCGAGTTCGAAATACGAACGCGCGTTTAGGCGAACGCGCAACAACTGGCGAGGCGAATCGCAACTGAAGTAATATTGATAAGCCGCCGAGTGCGTCACCAATTTCTTGGTCGGCGGACAATTGCGTCGCCGGACACTTTAACGACGGAGTCTTTAGCGACGGAGTTGGGAGACGGCCGTGGCTCCCCGTTGACTGAGGAGACGACCCTTTAAACGGAGGAATGCGCTGGTCTGCCGCAGACAGTTTGCTGGATAACGGCCCGCGGAGTTGTAAAGATAACGAGCCTAAACGCTCTCGTCCACCCGTTGCTTATCAGCCGGCCGCGGTAATTGCTGGAGTTGCTGTGATTGTTTTTCGGAATGTCAAAGAGGTGATTATCTCGCGATTAAAATAATTAGGTGAGGGAAGGGGGTTGACGCCGAAATTAAATATGAAAATATCCCCTTTCCTATTATGTATGTGTATCAATTACTTACCTACATAGGTATATCACGTGCTCAGCGGTGAAGGAAAACATCGTGATGAAACCTTCGTATTTTCGAAATAATAATTGGAATATTTCGAAGATAAGCGAAGTAGAAAAAGCTGAACGCCAATTCATAGTGAATAACTGATGTCTTTGTCCAGCAGTGGGTTATATATACTGTTGGCTGTTACTTTACTCTTTTATTTAAACAAATATCTGTTAACTTTCAACGAAATAATATTTGTTTTGAATCATGTCGTTTTACGGTTTACGGAACCCAAAGGGTAAAACGGGACCCTATTACTAAGACTCCGCTGTCTGTCTGTCCGTCTGTAACCAGGTATCTCATGACCCGTGATAGTTAGACAGTTGAAATTATCTGTGTTGCCGCTATAACAACAATTACAAAAAACAGAATAAGAAATACCCCCCCATAAAAATATTTAAGTGGGGTCTTCCATACAACAGACACGATTTTTTGTCGTTTTTATAGATAATGGTACGGAACCCTTAGTGCGCAAATACGACTCGCACTTGGCCAGTTTTTTTATAATTACAGGTCAAATGAATGAATTTACTACATAGATAGATAAGTGCAAGTTAATAAACGTGTTTAAAGACGACACGACTAGAATGTTACTTCAATAAATATTTTCCGTGTAAAATAATGACGACACATTTGGAATCAGTTGAAACCAGTTGTTAGATTTACATATCAAGCTAAAAGCGCCAAGACGAAGTTGTAGTAAACGTAAATAATCCAAGCTCGATTTATTGCAGTCTCAACCGACCCGGTCTCACGAAGATTATATCGATCGAGTATCTATAGAATGCTATAAATTACCCCTCCAAATGCAAATGAGTGTAATAATTTGGATTCATCGATTAAAAGCGTGGAGTGGCATCTCGGTGGCATTATAAATGGAATGTACGCACCTTTCTCTCGAACGATGCACCTACACCAGGGCTAGTCCGAAGTATAAACTTTCGTCCATCTTCATGTCCACAAGCAAAGATATCGAGCTAACGATTAAATGTATTATCGAAATTTAGTATAAGAGGTTCCAAGACATGACATCCGAGTATTTGGTGTCTCCGAATCTGATTTTATATAGTGTTTATGTAGGTATTGGAATATATATGTATTTCATAGTTCATAGTATGCATGCATTTAGTATATTTATGAAATATGTACTTTTTTGTTATTTTCTGTTTTCAAAATTTTATTTTGGATTTTGTTTTGCACCTTCGTCAAATTTTCACTACTCCCAGGGTTGACTGGAAGAGAATTCTTATTAGCATTAAGTTTGCCTTTTGTTTGGCCTTATTTGGAGGTGTAAACAATACATTTTAAATAAATAAATAAATTTGGATTTGCTTTAGTCTTTGATTAGGAATTAAAATATGTGTTCTTAGTCAAACGGTTCATCATTCCTATGTACACCATCTATTATCCATATAAATTTTATTGAAACGGTATTGTGATTGAAAAAAATATACCTTATGGTAATTTACTATTACACCTAACCTAACATTTCGTAAAATCCGTTCTAACCTCTACTCGGCGAAAGGAATATTCCTACAAAATTTCAAGTCTCTACGCGTTTGGTTCGCAATTATCGGTGGATATATAATATATATATATATATATAGAAGAGGACATATATTTTTTGTTACCGGTTAATGGGAACGGAGCGAAAAATACGGTTGACGCAACCTATAGTAAACAAACCGCCTTCGCTAGCGGCCGAAGTCAACACCGGTCGAAGACAGAGGCGCGCGAGGAGTCAAGGTCAATGTCATCCTGGTCTCGCACGCAAGTTCTCGGAAGCCGGAAAGATCTTCGGACCTCGTCCTGATACGTGCGTCGCTGATAATGAAATAAATATTTTCTAGACTAAGGCGTACGCATTACACTATTTCATTTTTTTTTCTTTCGAAAATTATAAGCGGCCGGCACCAATCATTCTGTCGCAATCAATAAGTCTTTATTGACTTATTGATTGCGACAGAATGATTGGTGATTAATTCATTAGTGATTTTTCTATATCGTTTTATTTTAATTGAATTACGCGAACGTCAGTGGTCTTTATATTATATCAGCCGTTAATGAAATATATATTCACTGGGATAAGGCGTTATTGGAGTTAACCCGATATTTCTACGTTTAAAATACTTTTTTTTTAAACGCAGATGGCATGCAGATTGGATAGCTATTCAAGGAATTTTAATCTATGTGATGTTTTCTTCCCTTTCTGGTCGTTTTCATCATATCTGATGATCGTGGTGGGCGGTCGTGATTCTATCACGAATGAGATCTCTCCATCGATTCCGGTCCATCGCGGTCCTGACCACATCGCAGATTCGGAGACGGTTGTGTGTCCTTGAGCTGGTCCGTCCATCGTGCTGGAGATTGGCCACGCGATCTTTTGCCTTCAGTGTTTCCAACAACGATCAACCTTTCCAAGCTTTCATCTCCTCTTCTCATTATGTGGCCAAAGTAACTTAGGAAACGTTGCTCGCATTGTGGACAGTCGCGTCTTGATGTTGAGCTCCGACAGTATGGACTGATTGTTATATGTTATTACCAGGTAAAAGCATAACCCTCTAGGAGCCGAGTCAATCTTTATTTGGATGGAGAATATATGAAGATGCGAAAGTAGCTCAAGTTTGTCTTTTAGTATATTATTACCAGGCAAAGATTATTATTGTCTTCTTATTATCTTTACTGCCTTGTTATTAGCTGTTAAAAATATAAAAATAAAAACAAAAATAGAATACCTAAATAAAGAAATATCTATTTTTGTATGAAAAATGAAGGCAGATTCGAAAATAGTTGAAGGGTGTTTTTTTTTCCCCATAAAATATATTATTACAAGACAAAGACAAAATCCTCTTAGAGAAAATCCACAATACAAAAAATCCACACTATATTAGTTTCAATGAAAACTAGGCAGATTTTTAAGTACAGTCTAAAGTTGTTCATTTTTCAATTATCACGCAAATGGGTAAGATAAATGCCTTAGAGCCGCGTCTTGGCTATCTATAATAATACTCATAAAAGTCGAGCTATAATTTTTTCGAGCTATTATCATTTAATATATAATGAAAAATTTTTACAGACAAATGCGTCATTGAACTTGATCCAATAGGATCCAAGTTTAAAGACGCTGTTACTATTTATACGCGAATGTAACTCAAACACGGTATATCAACGTCGCGATATAGAACGCAATAATGGTACTAGAAGTAGAGGCTACGTGGCTAAGATCGACTTGTGAACTAATATAAGGTCATAAGTTCGAATCTGTGTGGCGCGCATCGGGGAAACACCTTTTCTAAAATTTTAATTATCATTGAACACTTGAAATTTTTGTCTCTTATTACTCCTAGTTCCACCGTTAGGATTATCATCGTCAGTCATTGGAGAAACAATTGGAGTAGTTATTTCCAGTAATATAAAACATACATTATCATCAAACATTGACTAGATTAAGTTAGTGTTATGAATTAAATCCACGTATTATTTCCTTTTACTGGCCTTAACTGGCATTCTTAAAACTTTTTTTTTATTTACAAAAAAAGAGCACCCTCATAAAATAGAAACAGGCAGTAACCCTATATCGGATTTTTTACAAAACGTCACAATTTGTTACAACACAAAGTTGACAAGAGCGTGAGTATCCAACGGATTGTAAACTGAACGACCTGGTAAATAAAGTGTATTTTAATTTGTGCTTCACGAACTGGGAATTAAGCTATCAAGTTAAAATAGTCGAAACTCGATAGCGGCGGTGCAGTTTCGGAGCGTTAATTTAAAAAAAAAGGAAAAAAACTCGACCCAGATGCGGTTTTTGTGTTTTATTTAAAGCGAGCTAAATGATTAACGAAACGCTTTCAAAGTTATTTTTATTTCGACGTGTTCTTTACTCTAATTTGAATCGCCTGTTGACTATTAATTATTTACACAAACTAAGGCCGATAATAAAATAAAATCAAATTAAACCCATTTAAGTTCGTAAAATTATCTAATTAATTTAAAACGCGTGGGTCTGTTCTAAAGTCATTTTCTTTGAAATAGCATCAAACTTTTTATGATTACTTTTTTTTACAACTTAATAATAACTTAACTATTTTATATTTTCCCTAGACAAGGAATACTAGTACGGTTTTTTTAAGCTGGATGCAGAAAGTTTTTTAAAATTAATGTAATATGTGAAGCGAAAACTTTGATCTCTCTTGAATATTTCATGCAGGTAGGAGCGGAGATATGGTGTTGTTAATATAGGTATATGTGAATGAAAACAATATCATTATATATATGTTAAATATATTAATGTGTTATCAAACACATCATGGAGTGTTGTCAAGCAGTTGCACAGAGTACAGATTTTCGTCAAAGAATTTTAAACATCACTGAATGAGTCTAAAGACAAATAATAAATAAATCATTCAATTTCTTTATTATAAACATTTCAAGTCGATCTCATGTCTAGCTATACATAGCTATATATAACTGGTTATGTTGAGTCGCGCTTGCTAAACGCAGTGTCAAAATTACATTCTAGATCTAGAACAATACGGCAACTTCTTGTATCTTGTATTAACTGATGTTTTTGCTTTCAGTCCCGAGACTATTAAAGCTTCATCTGACGCAGATACGGAAACTTGCACCACCCTTTGTCAACTGCCACCGCACGCACGCAACCGCTTCGCAACCGTCACGCTGTCTATAAACCGGCCCGAGCAGAATCTACTACCGATACTTGCTGATGAATCATTCGCCCACTGAGTCAGAGCGTCGATTATTCACGCGCGGTGAAAAAACTGCTAAATATTTTGTAACAACTCTCAACTTAGCGGAATCCTCGGCCTTTTAGTGCCCGCTGTTAGTTAGTGACGGCATTCGACGGTTATTGGGACGCTTAAAAGCAATCTTTAAATGAAAGCGTTACCTTATAATGTGGGATAAACAGTGATGGTTTATAGAAGAGTTTTCGAAACATAAACTAAACAGCACAAACACTACTACCCGACTTGATCTAGTCCAATCATCTACATAAACTAAACATACAAACATCTGAATTCAGACCAATTATATAATAGGCGTAACGCCTATTCGTTCTAATTAAATGATAAAAATATTTTTATTGCGTTGTGTTATGACTAGTCGCATAAATTATACTTGTCTAATTTCAATCCTAAATATGTAGTTCGACTATATAGTATATATGCGATAAACATATGTATATATACCAGATATAAGTGTAGGAAATGTACTTTTGTTATTGTAGCACAGGCTATTAAATTATCATTATAATTCCAAGTAATGGCAATATACTGAGATATAAAGAATGTTTTACATTAAGTTATTGTAAAACATGGACGAACAGATTGGCGTATTGAATAGTGAACCTGCATGTTATGGCGCCAGCGTTAATAAACATTTTTCGGTTTGTAAATGTTTACGTTTTTATTCACTAAAGGAAAGTAAGATTAAGTATGTTTTGTCCTTAAATATTTATTTATTTTATAATACGATACTTATACCGTGTGTTTTTATATGCCAAGCGAGAACGCATTATTGCTATAAAATAATGATACGATATATTATATATTTGACATTTTAACATTTTTCGAAAAATTTTAATTTAAATTAAAAAAAGAAAACAATATTTGCTCAAGTAAGTGGTTCAAGAATGAAAAATCATCCTCACGTTATTCATCTGCAATTCTTCGAAGTTAAGAGTTTTTTGACGTTTATAAACGAGATTTTCGGAAATCTATTAGTATATAGCTATACACAGTAGCTAAACATTCAAATAGAAGACTCAATAATGTCACTTTTCCGATTTTCAGTCTTATTAGTATGAGTATGATCGTAAAAATGCTTAATGAGTAGAACGATGTAAAGTAAAGAAAAGTAAAGTAACAGCCTATACATGTCCCACTGCTGGGCAAAGGCCTCCTCTATATAGAGGGTGTCTATATATGTCTATAGTCCACCACGCGGCCCCACTGCGGATAGCGGTCTTCACATATCTTCGAAATATTTTTTTTGTTATTATTTCGAAAATATGCAGGTTTCCTCACGATGTTTACCTTCACCGCGGAGCACGTGATAGGACAGCACTTAAAGTTAAAAACTTCATTGGTGCCGGCACCGGGGATCGAACTCAGGTTGCTCGAGTATATTGAATTAAAGGCGAGCGCCCGGTCACTGAGCTACCACGGCTCAAGAACGATGTAAATCGCCTTTATTAAAAGGTGGCAACACATCTGCAAACCCGCGAGTTGTTGCAAATGTCCATGGGCGGCGATTATTACTTAACATCCGATGAACCGCCAGTTGGCTTGGCACCTTCTGAATTAAAAAAAATCTGAATACAAGACTCCAGCGAGACCCTTGCATGCTTCGTGACTCAACTGATTTCTTCAAAAGAAAAACAAAAGATCGCATAATGACCGCAGGTTCATTATTTCTGGTTTCTGTAGACAGGTTTAGGGAACCGGTGGTGGATTTGGTCGCCTGAAATAATTGCAAAAACGTAATTTTTTTTTCTTCTACTGTATGATTTATAACAATTACAGGGGTTAGACTATGGTTACTGCTGCTCGTGAGTAAATTCTGGACGCGTGCAGTTAAATTACGGCCGCCATAAACGATGGACAAAGAAGGTTCGATGACATTACTTGTGCGCAGCTCCTCGGTCATACGATGAATTTTAACAGCTTTTAGCGATTTTTAAATCTGCCGAATAAACATCAATTTCATCGCTATTTATATATATATATTTAGCTGATTTCTATTATGTATAGACAAGAGAGTGTTAGTAGTAATTAGCTCAAGGTACCTTATATCATAGTAAATTTATTAAATGTTTGGAAAATATTTTATACCGTATTGTCCTTTAAATGTATGTGAGCACAATTATATCTTCGCGAATGTAAGAAATTTCTTATACACAATGCCATCTAAACTCCACTTGATTGGGTTAAAGAGAATTTTTATTTCCTATATATGCTTTTATTTAGTAATAAAGGCATACAGTGGATATAAATCAAAAGTGATATTACTAAAAAAGTAAACTGTAAAGTAAAAGTAAAATATACCTTATTGTGCACCAAGAAACATTACAGTATTTATAATTAAAAACAAACACACGGGTACAAAGGTGCACCCAGTGAATCCAGTGCGATTCATAATCGCGAGAGTACGTCTCAACTATCACAGCGCCACGGCGAGCATTAACAATTCTCGTGTCGTGTGCTAGAATGGAACTAAGCCACCAAGTCGTTGTACCGGCTCCGCTGCACCTGCTAACCTTGCACTAGCTTCATTCGCCAGGATCGTCTAGCGATTCATGTAATATTTATTATGGGCGGATTTGTATTTGCCTCGCGCTTTATAAGCCCCTATATTTTTTATTTGTGGATAACTTTTTTTATTTAAAAACACCAATTGCTAGCTCCCACTGTGATAAAGCAGTTTAACACATTGTTAAATTTTAATCGTCTAACATATATTTTTACTACGGACCACGCAAAAGACTGCAGTTGCACGAATGGGCGGTCTTCTTGGGGGAAGTAGAACGACCTCTCAGAAGACCGACGTGACGTTCTGCGTTTCATCTACCAGTGCCGGATACCAATTAAACACTTTCCAAGGTGGGCAAAGCAACTGTTTCGCCTAAGGTGTTCTCGAATGTAGGTATTGGGGAATATATTTACAAAATTACTTTAAAACCATGTAAGTGAAGTAAAACACACAGGCTGTGTCTACAGTTTGTCGTTGCCGTCTGGCAACTGCTATCATCATATATAACATCTGTATATCATAGCTATAATCATCATAAAGCAACTGCAAAACATTGGGATTTCGCTAAATTTAAATGTACGTAATATTTAAATTATTCATCAAAATGATTCCTTGTTTAATTATAATAGTGCAGTTCCAATCATATAAACTTCGTATGCCTCTACACAGGCACGCTTTTAAATATGCACTAGGAGTTATTACGTAAAATGTTTACACATTTTGTTATGTACATTGTACAAACAACGTTAGAATGTCATAACGACCTACTTGCGGCGATAAGGTGCTAATGATAGGAGGTTCACGGAACGCGTGGTCTCACTCTAAACGGGCTGCGTCGTAAACTTAAGCGGAAAGCGATTAAGGGATGATTCCATCCTTCGATACCACTTTTCATCTTAAAATGGGTACACAGAGATAACTAGTGCAAGACGCATAATCATCAGTAGATCAGACACTAATAAAGAAAGCAAACACGTCTTGCATCCAAAAAATAAAACAGGCCTTCCGTTGATTTTACTCGTAAACATCATTCTTACTGTTAGTGTGTCACTTTTGTGTGTCGATATTTAATATGTAGCTAGGATTATAATCGACGCATGAACGCATTAGATTGACATACCTACATTTAAACACCAACATTACGATGTTATCGACACCATACCATAAAAATACAATAAGCAACATGAGTTAATTACATTTAACACGCGATAATGTCGTTTAAAATTACCAACTTCCATTTCATAGGTTTCTATGTTCGTTTTCATCATGTCATAAGCTGAGTTTAATTTATACAGAGTATAAAATATTACTTTCTATGTCGAGCATAAATTAAAAACACCTATAAGGTCGTAGTAAAGGATCCGAAAAGACTGATTAAATCCATCCAACTTTTAAGCCTACATATGGTTAAATTACATTGAAATTTCATTATTAAGTAAACCCTTTGGCGTTTTAGATGTAGATGGGCGGTGGAAACTCACATAACTTAAGGTGAAACGCCATCTATTTCGCCACCATTTCCCTTTTAAAAATCATTTTAAAGCTGAACGAGATGAGCCTTTTAAGCCTTTAGGACTTTAAAGACTCAGAAAACTTCTTACTTCTTTAGCGTGAAAAAAGAAAAATAACAAAAAATATTATCCTCTGTTCCAGAACTTTTTGTTTGTGAAAATTATTTTAAATGCAATTGACAACGGCTTAATATAACTTAGAATTATACTTAAACGTCAAAAAGATTATTTGTTGCCGTGGTGACCTTGAAGTTTGCCACTTGGCTACTAGCTTCGTCGCTTTTTGCATCGTTAAAATTTTACTTTTTTAATTTTCCAAAACGCTCCAACAAACGTATAATTTCGAAAATAAATTTTGATAGACGCCTGCAGTGAAGCCGCACATTCCCAAAGACTCTAAATCAGCCGACCTTCTTCTAACTGAGCAACCAATGTAGCCCAGTACCTTCGTGTACAATAATAATCAGAAACGCATTACGATCCGTACGCTCGCGTGATAAATGATTGAACCATAGCCCGTTGAATGGGAAAGGTATGCAGGTCTACTGAAGGTTATACATGAAATTACGATGAGGAAACTCGGTCATGAGTAATGGAAAAATGAGAGAGTAATGGCCGAGTGGTATTGATGTCAGACTTGCTGTCTGAAGAATGCGGATTCAATTTCCAAAATTTTTTCTTGATTCTTACGTGCAAGAATCGACTAATAATATGTGTATCCTGTAAACATCGTTAAGGCTAAACTCTCATTTTGATCATCGGCATCTACCCTGAAAGAGATTAAAATACCTAACGACTCATTATTCTGTGTAAGAATCGCATCAGTTTAAATTCAGTATCAGAACTGTCTTAAGCAGTTGTAGTTTTGCAAGAAATCTGTATTTGATTTACGTAAGACAGCAAAACAAGCTAACATTGACAATTTATCAGTAGCTCGCATAGTTATCAAATTTCTAAATC